AGTGACACAGGGCTGCCTGCGGTATTTGGGCAGAGGGGCATCCAGTCCGATCCTTTGACTCATTGGCCCGAGGCCTCGGGGCCAGAAAGGGGAGCCCCTGGAAGCTCTTCTGCACCACAGCTTCAGGGCAGTAAGAGTTGTCCTCCCGGGGGCGGGGCGGTGGATGGGCTTTTGGGGTTATTCCGAGAGCTGGGCTTCTCTGAAGTGAGGCCAAGGGTGGGAGTGTCCACATGACTTTTCCAAAGATAGCTGGGTGGGGATGGTGCTGGTGGTATTTGAGGCTGAACCTGGGGAATAGCTGTGCCCTGTGGTTGGCCAAGCACTGTGGCGCGAGCTTGCCTGTCAAGTCGTATGTGACAGAAGTCACATCTGCGTGTCTCCTGCCTGGGTGCATGAGACCGCAGCTCGGCTTACTTTTGGAAGCCTTGCTGTGAGGGCTGGTCCCATGGCAAAGACAACATGGGTGGGAAGCCTGGAGGTTAGAGCATTAAAAACCAGTAGTGATAGTACGGCTACTGGTAACAATAGCAGTGGTAGTAGCAATAGCTACTCTTAGTGATGGTAATAATGATACCCATACTAATAGGAGTAATAATAACAGCAGTAGAGAACAGAGTGGTGGCCCCCTTCCTGGCCGTGTGATCTTGGACACATCACTTTACCTTTTTGTGTCTTTGTGTGTAAAATGAGATCATCATAGTATTTAGGATTTCTGTGGGGAGTAAATGAGGTCCCAGTGACTGGACCTGGAAGAGTCAGGGCCCAAGTTTAGCAGCATGACGGTGGCCATAACAACAATGCATTCTTTTCATGTGCCATGTGCTTTCCATGCAGGATCTCATCTATTGTCATGTCACTGCCCCCGGGGGGGCACGATTGTCACTCTCAGGTTGCAGGTAATAAGCCGCAGGCGCTTGTTCAAGGTCACACGTGGTAGCCAGCATTTGAACTCACCCTGCCTGACTCCAGCGGTCCAAGCCCACTCTGCTCTGTCCTTGTGCTACCTCCCTGGCCTTCTCTGGGAGGTGGCTTTTTGAGAGGGTGGCCGATGTCTTCTTGGAGGATGGAGAGAGCAAGCAGACAGGCCAGACAGAGCCACTGATGAGGGCTGTGTCCCACATCCATCTCCCGGGTAGGACTTGAACTCATCCATCAAGTTTCAGTGGGACCTAGAGGTCTTCTGTCCTGTCATGAGGATGGACACAGTCTACACTCTTGCCTCAAGTTCAAGGGGCCTACCTCATCAAGAGGTGCCTCCTCATTTGCTTGGTTTTTAAAGAAGACTCCATGATAGAGACAGCTAGTTTTAACAGGAGAATGCTCACTGTGATATTCTAAAACTGCGTTTTGATGTGGCCTCAGGTGGCCCCAATCCAGGAATAACATGTAGGAAAGGCTGAGGTGTGGTCAGAGCTGTGGTGTGGTGCTTCGCGGGGGCGTTGGGAGGCGGGCAGAGCAGCTCCGGGGAGCTTGAGCCGGCCCCCTCCTAGCTGTGCCTTCTGGGGCAGCTCAGCTCACCTCCCGGAGCCTCCGTTTCTCCTTCCAGCCATGCACCCTCCCACCCACACATCTCTCTAGCCTCATCTCTGTAACTATCCATCTACCCACCCACGCAGCCACTCACACACCCAATCATCTATCTATCCACAAACCCATCCACCCATCAGTCTGTCCATCCATCTACTCAATAAGCTTTCATGGAGCCTCTAGTAAGTCAAGACCATACTAACTGCTGGGCTCCCGAATGAAGACACTGCCATGAAAACACCTTACACAGTGCTCAGCAGAGGACTAAATTACAGGCCCTGGCTGGGTGGCCCAGTTGTTTAGAGCATCGTCCGGATACATTAAGGTTTTGGGTTTGATCCCTGGTCAGGGCACATATGAGAAACAACCAATGATTGCATAAATGAGTGGGACAACACATCAGTGTTTCTCTCTCCCTTCCTTTCTCTCTCTCTCTCTCTCAAATCAACCAATAAAAACAGAAGACAAAAGTACAGACCACCATGCACAGAATACTGAGTAGCTGTTAATAAGAATAAGGCAGGTCTGCAGGAGCTGATATGAAGACACATGCTCAAGAGGAAAATAAAAAGATGCAGAAGTATGGGAAGTACACTACCGTTTGGGTTAAAAAACAAAAAGGGACCGTCTAACTTCAACACATACATATTTGGATATGCCTAAAACTGTTGTTGAAGGACACAGGAAATGAGTATCAGAGATTGCCTCTGAGGAAGGAATTAGGAGAAATGGCTTGGAAACATATCATGCCGTAACATTGCAGGCTGTTTGAATTTAAAAAACAACAACTGTGTACTATCTGTTTAACATGGAAAAAAATAATTTATATATAAAAAAGAAGACCTAGTCTCTGGGTAATGATATAGAAAGATAAGAAAGTAGCTAATTGTAATGTCATCCATGATACATATGTGATTAGGGAAGTATAGGGGAATGTGGGAGGGCAGAGGGGCACCTAGCTCAGCCCGGGGGAATCAGGGAAGGCTTCCCAGAGGAGGTGATGCCTGAGCTGAGACTCCCAGGCTGAGTGGAGGTTGAGGGAAGATGCTTGGCGAGGATATTCCTGGCAGGAGGAACAGCGTGAGCAAAGGTCTGCAGTTAAGGTTCAGTGTGGCTGGAACAAAGCCATCGAGGTGGTAGGAGGTTTAGAATTTGTCCAAAGGGCAATGGCCAGTCGTGGATGGGTTTTAAGGAGTGACGGGGTCAGTTTTGCTTGGAAAGACCCCTTTGGCAGCCATGTGGGGGATGGATCCCAACAGTGAGGCCGGGGGCAGGAGGCAGGGAGGCCGATGGGAAGGCCAAGGGGGAGGCCAGGGGAGAGATGATGAAGGCCTAGACTAAGGCAGATGTGGGGGAGTCGTGGGTGGGGCAGAGAGGAAGGGATTCAAGAGCTCTCTGAAGATGGGAAGAAACAACTTCTCACAAGAGCATCCATCAAAATAATTTTAGCAAATTGCTTTGCAAATTGCACAGTTCTTCATAGTGGTTCCCACGCATGAGTGCACATTGGAAACTCCTGTGCCCAGAACCCACCCCCAGGACATTGTATTTACTTGGGTGTCCGGATGAAATTGGGCTCCCTGATGGCTGATACACAGCTAGGGTGAGGGCCACAGTATGTGATGGCGAGTTGGCCAAATGAATGAATTGGGCTCATCCTGTTGGTTCACCTTCTTCATGCAAATACTCAGGGTGCAGGTGAGCCTCTGCTGCGCAGTTAGGATCCTCAGTATGTTCTGCTAGAAAGAAACAAGGCGGGAGAAGCGTGGGCTTTTAGGGTGGCCCAGCCCAAGTGTGCTGGCTTGAGTCTGTTGACCTGTCGAGCCAATTCCCTTGTTTGAAACAGACCTCAGTGGGTTGTGGTGAGAATGGACAGGATTACAGATGTAAGTGCCTGGCACAGAGCAGGGGTGCCCAGTGGACTGTTGTAGCTCTCATGTCAAGATCCCCATGGAAGAGTTCAGTTGGAGATGCTAAGACCCACTTGGGGACAGAAGAAACCCTAGACGGAGCTCATTGCAGGGTGCATGACGCCCCCGTGTGGTTAAAACTAGATTTGTCTGAGAACAGGAGTGTCTCGAATGTACATTTCAACAAGTCCTCGTTTCTTTTAGCAGCACCAACTTGTACTTTGAGGTTGGGGCTAGCCTGGTCACGTTGTTTTACAAGCAGCTTCTGATGTGTAGAATTCAGCTTCAATTCTCAGAGGATAACTGGGACAAAACCGTCTCATTTAAAGAATCACAAAGAAATGTGGTGGGGAATTGTGGTGTTGTCACATATAATAAAGAAGGGAGGGACCAGCACAGCTGGGAGGGGCTGTGAATTAAATAGAACATGCCACACAGGGCCACCCGACATGGTCCCGCCCGGCCGCTCTAATTTGAGATCCCTGCTCTGTGGTCTCCACAGGCTGTGTGTGGAGGGACTGGTCTTTGGATTTCTGTGCCCTTCCCCAGAACCCAGAGGATTTGTATATATAAAAATTTAAAAAGGAGGTATATTTAAGAGGCAGCAAACTTCTGTCTGCACCCAAAAGCCACCATCCGGAAAGACAGACACATCTTACTTTGGAAGAGTTGATGGAGATTTGAGACCGTTAGCTCGAATTTCAGTACCATGTTTGCACCAGGAAACGAGGCCTCCTTTAGCGGGCTTTGAGCGGGTGCACCAGCTGTGGGTACCTCGGTGCTACCCCTGCCCTGAGCCAGGGCTGGGTGTTTCCGACCTGAGCTCACTGTACACAGGCAGTTCAGAATGGACTATGTGAATATCACGCCTGTGCTGGGCAGAGAATGGGACAAAAGTTCCCTGGACTTGGTTCATCTGCCATCATGCAAGTTACTGCCACCAGCCCAGACCTAAAACAGAACTCTGTATTTTTTTTTTTTTGGTAATGCTCACCAGAGAATATTTTTTCTTTCTTTTTTTGGGGGGGAGTGGAAGGGAGGGAGGGAGGGAAAAACATCGACGTGTGAGAGACGCATAGATTGGTTGCCTCCTGCACGCACCCCAACCAGGGCTGGGGTTTGAACCTGCAACCTGGGTACACGCTCTTGACTGGGGATCGAACCCATGACCCTTCGGAGTGAGGGCCAATGCTCTAACCGCTGAGCTCTGTATTTTAAACTCACTCCCAGGGGCTCTTTACCTATCAGTTGGCCACAGCTTCGGGGTATTATCTAAGCCAGCCTTTGTCAGACTTCACAAGTCAGTGAAATTAGAAGAACCTCTCCTCTCACTTTGAGTTGTCAATCTATTATTATTTTGCAAAGAGCAACCAAAACTGACAGCCAGCTCCTTTCGCCTTCCCCCTTGTATCAGAAAACATGACACTGGCCTTGTCAAAGTCTCCGTCCAGGCTTTACCGCCGTTTGCTCAGAAAGATCCTGCACTGTCGTGTCCGGCACCTGGGAGCCCCAAGGGGCTCTGGGCAGCACTCTGGGGTGAATGAAGTATCCAGGAGATCAGTCTTAGCAGAGAAACAGTCGTACATTCCTTTGTTTATTATATATCTGCAGATCTGTCTTATGCACAATACTTGGTTCTGTCAAACACTACACCAAAGCACTCTATTGGCAGTTCTCCCCAACAGACCCTGGTAAAATAGATCTTCGCACATTTCACAGACTGGCCCACTCAAGACTTCATACTGCTCTCAGTTCTGAGGCCCTCCACACAATTCAGAACACACAGGAGCGGGGTCAAGGTGATACAAGCGGGCTGAAAGAAACTACAGGATTCAGAACAATAAACTGTATTTTGCTTGATTAGAGCCGCAACGCGAACAGCGAACGTGCTGCGGCCTAGGAGCTTCACTGTACCGGGGACTTCTCAGGTCTGAGGCGGCAGCACGGCGAGGGGCGAGCGGTGGACACACAGTGGAAGCTTCGCAGGGGCTCACTTCTTCTCCGCCTCGCCTTTCTTGGGTTCTTGTTTCAGTTTGTAATCAGCCAGGGCGGCCTTGATCGCATCTTCAGCCAGCACTGCAAGGAGGGAAGGAAAGAGCCAAGTGTGAGAGCCAGAGGGCGCGCTGGGCAGGGCCGAACAGCCACCGAGCCAGGTGCTGCGGGTGGAGCAAGCCTGGGAGCAAGCGGTTTCCTGAGCCAGATTCCTCTCGAGGTGGCTTTCGAGACGGATGGGGGCGTTAAATACCTGGGATTCCAGGTTAGTTTCTGAGCCTCTGCGGATCAACTTTCTCTTCTGTAAAACTGGACAATCATGCTTTCCTTGCTGGGCTGTGGAAGGACTTACATCATGTGGCTGGCACGGAGCAGGGCCAGACAGGTTCGTTCTCACCCGCTTACAGGAGACTGGAGTTAAGGCAGTGGGTGCTGGCTAAGCTAGCTAGTGGGGCTTAGGTCCTATTGCCAGGATGGTGTCTGCCACATCCCTCTCCAGTGATCCTACGCCTGAATACTCTTTAGGAGGGAAGCTATGGAGGAAAATAAAAACGGAGCTGAAATGAGAGCAGAAAGCAAGCCAGCAGTAGAGAGCCTTAGCTCAAGGGTTCAGTACCTAAGACGGCCTAGTGAAAAGCTGGGTTTTTCTGAACCATGTGAACATGTTTACAGGCTGTGGCATTTATTCATGGCTACTTGAAATTCCACCTCAAGTGGAAAGAACTTGGGTCTTAGCAGACTCTTGAAGACTGACTTGGCGTGTCCCTGTCCCAGCCCTCGGTTCTCCTATGAGTCTTCCCCTGGCAAGAGGCCTGGCTCTCTGCTGGTTTTTAACTAATTTGGTCAGTAAGCCTCCAACCTGTTAAGACTGCTGTTTCTCATTCCCTCCTTTCCCAAGAAGGTTGAGAGAAGATAGAAATAGCTTTGGATTTAAGACACAGACTGAGCTGGAAAGCCAAGCGTCAGTCTGAAGGCATCCGAGCTCTCTCTCTGACAGCGCAAAGGGGAATGTCGTTCAGCTGGGCTTAGTCAACGCAGACACAGATGCAGACCGACAACATCCACAAGTGGACAAGAAGGGATGAAATTCCCAAGAAACAGGATTCTGCTGAAAGCTGAATTTTCTCCTCTGCTGGTCCTGACTTTACTACAAGGGGGTGGGAACAGCACAGATTTGGAAACAAAGATGGGGCTTAGATCCTGACTTTCTCACGTAGGAGCTACGAGTGCTTTAGCCTGAACCCGCCTCCTCATCCCCAAGGGGGGAGGAAATGGCACCTTCTGTGGCCTGGAGGATGTCTCCGAGGCTCACTGATGATGCTACGAAGCACTCGGCGTGAGGCCTGGCACACTGCCACCCCCTGTCGGCTCTCCTGGAGACGGCTGTGAGACCCTGGGCTCCGACCCTCTGAAGGCAACAGAGACGGACTCTGTGATCACACAGGGCTTGTCATCACTGTCACAGATGCAAGTTGACCCCATTGCACAATTTCTCCCGACTGCCTGGGCCTGCTGGCGGCGTGGAGGGCAGACACTTACTGGAGCAGTGCAGTTTCACGGGGGGGAGGCACAGTTCCTTGGCGATATCTGTGTTCTTGATGGTCAGGGCTTCCTCCACCTGAGAGGCACATGGGAAAGACAAGCATTACTGATGCTGTCTAGACGGACAGAAATAAAAAAGGGAAGGCCCAGGAGGACAGGGTGTTGGGGATGGTTTCTGTTCATAAATAACCCCCCTCAGAGGACAGGTGTCAAGGCTGTCGGCGGCGTCCTCGGGCGCACGTGCACACAGCTGCACCGCTTGGCTGGGGTGAGGAAGGCCTGCAGGGACACGTTTAGGAGCCGGAAGAGAACTGGGGAGAGTCTCTTGGGAATCAGATTTGCTGGAGGCTAGAAACGTGGGTCTGTTTTTTAAAGGCAGTGACTTTCTACGCTGGTTTTGTGAGTATCAGCTTCTCTGATGTCCTTATACCAAATGTTCAGATTAAGTCCCTTCAACTAGAAGTGCTGATGGCACTGGGAGGTGCAGGGTGCCGGAGCGGCCGGTGGCACTCCAGCACGGAGGCGGTGGCACAGGCAGGTCTTGGGCAGGAGCTCTCTTCGAGCTCATCCTCTGCAGAAAGGGGACTGGCTCCTCCAGACCGAAGTGACGCCTGGGGTTTGGTCGAGAGCCCGGGGGCCGGTGCTTCCTAGCCCACACGGAACAGAGTCCCACCGCCTTAAGAAAAGCCAGTTTTCCCCACTGTCCCCTAACTTCCCAATGTCACTAACTCCACTGCATTACGCATGCAGTTCCGTTCCAGAAACTCAAGATGGGCCGATCTCAAGGTCAAAGAAAGGCCCTCTTCCCCCATTTTCGAGGTATGTGCCTTTGAATGGGAATCAAACACAAGACTTTTTGGTCCTCAGGCTGATGCTTTAACCGCTGAGCCAACCAGCCAGGGCTAAAGGTTTCTTTTCAGCTCTAGCTTGTTAGATGGAGAGGTGAGGATCTTTTTTTCTATTTAATAAGAAACAGAAATGGAAAGCCCTAAATAAAAATGACCAACAACAATAAAAAAAAAACAAACCCAAACTAAAAACACTTAAGAAAATTATCTTCTGTTCCCAATGTGGAGAATTTAATAAAAATCTGGAGAGGAGAAATTAAGAAGAAATTCTTAGAATATTATTAAAAAAATCAATAGTTACTCCCCCCTGACCCCCCCCCCCCCCCCCCCCCCCCCCCGCCACCAGACCCTTCCCATAACTGAGGAGCACATTTGTGGAAAATGAGATTCAATTCTGCCAGATTTTCGAGCAACCTTACCGTCTTCCCTTTCACCCATTCGGTGGCTAACGAGCTGGAGGCAATTGCAGAACCACAGCCAAATGTTTTAAACCTGGCATCCACGATCTTCCCCTTCTCATCCACTTGAATCTAGACAAGAGACGGGAATTACTTACTCCCTGTAGAACCTGGCACTCACACAGGCTCACTGGGGCCCTCCCAGCGAGCTTTAGTCTTGTTTCCAAAACTACCGAGTTTGATCGTTTTGAAGAGCTCAGTGATGAAAAGTTAAACATACGAACAGTTCTATGGAATTATATAGGCCTAGCCGGTCAAGATTAGCTGAAAAAGATGCCCCCTTTGCAGTTTTGGGTTTTGTTTCTTTGCAGCCCGAGCGTGCTTTTTGGCTGGGAAGTTCTGCTCACGGCTGCTGTGGCAGTCTGCCTCTGAAGACACTGGGAGAGTCTACGCTCAAGGTCTCTAGTTAATGCTTTTCTCTCGGACACCAAATTGCATTTAGCAGTTCCATCCTGCCTTGTTTCTGCTTTCTTTCTTTTTTTTGGTACGTGCCCCTATAGGGAACCAAACCCGACACTCTCTGGTCCGCAACCCCACACTCCAACCGCTGAGCCAAACCGGGCTGTTTCTGCTTTCTGAGATAGGCACGAAGACGCTGGCAAGCTGCCCACCCACCATGATGAAGTAGGCTGTGGATAAAACTACAGTTTACCCAAAGTGCCAGTCACTACCTTCTGTTGTCTTGAATTTGGAGGAGGTTTGATTTATGGGCTTTCTTATCTCACTGAGGATTTGCTAGCTTAACGGTTGTGGCTGTCAGTAAAATTCACAGAACATTTTACTTAACCGACGTTGGAATTTAAGCTGATTCAGTGAGTGGAACAGTGTGATCAGTTTGCTATACAGGAGAGGGTCAGGGTAGTATGCTAGCAGAACTAGGATTCAGGCTCTGCTCTGATCATTTATAATACTGACTCATCCCATCTCACAGGAATCACAATGGAGGCCAAATGAAATGGTGTATGAAACTGCTTTGTAAACCATGAAGCCCTGTGTAAGCAAATAGATTGCCATTACCATTAAAGATGAAAACCAGCTGTACCTGTAATTTCATTACATCACCACACGCTGGAGCCCCCACCAATCCAGTTCCAACATTTTTAGATGTCTTGTCAAGAGACCCCACATTTCTGGGATTTTCATAATGATCAACAACCTGAAATGAGAGTGTTAAGAGAAATCCTCGTCACTCTTTTTTGGTATTGACTTGACTTGATGTTAAGCTCCAAGTCAGCAGGCAATCACTAAATAACAAATTTTACCTTTGTGGGAAGGCTTACACGCACGTCAGTAACCATTTGTGACCCAAAGTCTTTTTGTGTCTCCTTTCCAGTTATCTTAAGAGATTTGTGATTGTGGAGGAAAATCATGTCTTAGTTCCATAGGGTTTTTAACTACATATAATTATTTGACCTTTATCCACGTACACTGCCAGGTTTGGGCTCAAACGGCATATTTGTTATTTCCAAATAAAATCTATTCTCAAAGAAGAATAATTATTATTCAAAAATTCTAAAAGTGAACTATGATCCATAAATTGAAGGCTCTCCCAGAAGCTTCAAGGAGACTGTTACAGAGAAACAATGCTATGGAATGAGTCCAATTCAGTATGATGACAGAATCAGTTCCATCACTGTCTCAGGGCTCTGAAATCTCCCCGGTGCAGCTGCGCGCCCTGGTGGCTAGAAGGCTGCCAGCCAGAAGTCATTCAGAGTGTGCTGTCAACAAAACACACCCCTGGGTGGGGGAGGAGCGAAGTCCTTGGCGATGAGCTGAAGCCAGAGAAGAATAAATGTCTATTCAAAGTGGCACACAGCAGGCTCTAATAACCTTGACATTTTTTACCAGTTAGCTGTAAGTATATCGATCGTCCAGCCTCCCTCCCCTCACCGATCCGACACGGATGTTGACTCCAAGACTAAGGACCTACAAGAAGATGCCCAATCTGGACTTTGTGTCCCATGTTGACTTACCACATTCTTTAGTAAGTTGTTTCCCGAGTGCTAGAGCCTCCGGTCTAAGGGACTTTATGCCCCCGGAAGGCAGATCACACACCTACCCCTCTCCCCCCCCCCAAACAAAACAAGAAAGTAAACGCGTGACTGCTGGTTACGCCCGACTCCGCCTGACTCCACTCGGAGGCTTCGAGCTCCTACAAGAACAACAATAGCGGCGCCATACACGCCCTCTGTGTGCTGGGAACCATGCCGAGGACTCCACAAGCATCCTCTCCTGCAGGGGGCTGCTAAGATACCCATTTCCAAACGGGGGCACGGCTTCAGCGAAGGGCAGTGACTTTCCCAAGGTCACTTGGCCAGGGCAGTGGCCGGCTGAAGCCGGAGCCCGCCCGGGTGTGTGTGTGTCAGGTCAGGCTGAAGTCAGGCTGGCAGGTCCTAGCAGGACCCTCCTTCCTGGGCTGTCAGGATGTTTAAAGGCTGGGATGCAAGTCATCGCAGCCGGCCGCAGGGCCTGCAGTTATTTTTATTTCATGCGCAGTTAGTGTCACTGCGCAGCGGGGGACGCTGAGGCAGAGGAGCGCGAGGGGGCGGCCCCTTCATTCAGGGCCGGACGCCGTCCCTACCCCTAGCCACCGTGGGGGCCCCCCAGAATCCCGCGGCCACTCCTCCCTAGGCTGAGCCTCCGTCCAGTGCCGGCACGCACGGGTCCCCTCGATGGTCCTCGTACTTCCGCCCCACGATCGATGCGGACCCCGCGCACCCCCTTGCCCACTCCTACCTTCTTGTGATAGAGCCGGGCCGGAGCTGACAACTCCCGGACCGGCAGGCGCGGGCTCTGGAGCAGCAGAGCCGATGCCGCTCGCCTTAGACGGACCGCTCCAGCCGCCGCCATCTTGCGAGCGTGCGCCTGCGCAGGCCGAGCGCGAGACCAAGGGAAGGGGCGCGCCCGCGAGTCGGCTCTCAGCTAGGCGCGCGCACCCTGTACGACGACTCCGCGATTGCGCGCCTGCGCCCTCCCGCTCCGTGCACGTGTCCGCGCGTTGACCACGCCCCTCGGGGAAGGCGGGGCGCGGAGCGGGAAGGTCTGAAGTTGCAGGAGGGGTTGTCATTGGCGCTGGGTTCTGAATGGAAGAGGGTCTCGGGCTGGAGCGGGACCCGCTGACGTCCACAAAGCCCACCGCCGGAGTCCGGCGCAGAGGATCAACCAGTCCACCTTTCTTAATCCTAATATACAGCTAAGGACTTTCAGTTTCAGACCGATTTAGTAACTTGTCCAGGGTTATTCAGAGAGTTAGAATCAGTTGGGATTCAAATTCAGACAATTCTGAGTTAGAACCCCGGTCTTGCTCCTTCCTCGTTGTGTGACCCCTAGGCAAAGGACACCAGCTCTCTAAGCTTCGATCTTTTGTAATACGTACTTCAAGTTCATTCATGGGCAGATATGTGCTGAATACATACTATGCGTCTGGGCGCTAGTCTGGACTTTGGGGATCCAACGGCAAGAAAAACAGACATCATTTCTGCCTCGTTACCCTTGCTCGTGAAGGAGAAAGGCAATAAGTAAACACACCAATACTTTCCAGCCTCAAAATGGGAAGCTTAATTAAGAAGGAAACGAACACCATGTCCTGATTTTTAAAAAGTGTTTGTCTATGTTTGTATCTACTTCGGTATAAACGACAGTAAATTCAACTTATAAGACAATACCTGGCAGTTGAGAGTTTCTAATTAAATGCTTAGTAAGGTAATTAATACTGGTTTGCAGAATGTGATCTTATAAAACAAGAAAACACGTGTTTTTAACGCCTACTAGGCACTCGGCATTACATAAAGGGGAGGAATCTCTTTGGGGGAAAAAAGGGGCTTTTCTCATGAATGGTGCAATCGATCCCTGAGGACTTGGGGTTTTCTCCGCGTCTGAGGATCAGTTGCTGGGGATACTGGAGCCACGCGCAGGTCGCACTAGGCGGTTAGTAAGGCATCTATCCCCAGCGTCGCCGTGACCTTCTCAAGATGGCGCCAAACCCTGTCCAGTCATCACGCTCACGCCACGACTTCCTCTAAGGGCCTCCACTTCCCGTCCAAAGACCCAACTCTACCCGAAGTGGAGACGGAGTACATGCCGTGTTAGTGAGGTTGATTTTTTCTCACGAGCGCTTCCACAAATACATAAAAATAACATGAATTGCGTGTATTTAGAGATTTCCCCGTCATCCGAGGCTCACGTTTTCCCTCCAGGTGGCCAGAGAGCGAGGGTTTCGATCAGGCGCGTGCGGCGGACAGCTTCTCCTGCAGCGGGGTCTTCGGCGGCCCCGTGAAGATCCGGGAGTCACTGGTAGCGCAAGATGGCGACGGCGGCCGCAGCCTCGGCTTCAGAAGCGGAGGCCGAGCCCAAGGCGGGGCCCGAGGCAGAGGGCGAGGAGGACGAGGTGAAGGCGGCCAGGACCAGGAGGAAGGTGCTAACGCGGGCTGTGGCTGCTGCGACGTACACGACCATGGGGCCAGCGTGGGACCAGCAGGAGGAAGGCGTGAGTGAGAGCGATGGAGATGAGGAGTACGCCATGGCTTCCTCCGCGGAGAGCTCCCCCGGCGAGTACGAGTGGGAGTACGACGAAGAGGAGGAGAAGAACCAGCTAGAGATCGAGCGGCTGGAGGAGCAGGTGCGCCCGGGGGTGGGCAGCGGGCTGCCTCCGTCAGGTTCCCGGGCCCCGGCCCTCCTCCCCGGGCCTGGGCGGTAATAAAGCTCCCGGGGCCGCAAAACCGCTGTCGGTAACCGTAGCTGCCATCATTTGGGCGCTTACCGCTTGCCTGGTGCTTTGCAAGCGTTATCCCATTGAACCTTCGCAACGGCAGCGAGGCGGTCGTGTGTTCCCCGTTTTCCGGGGGGAAAGAGGCTCTTCGTGGAGGGAATTCTCTTACCCAAGGTTACACTTCCTGCAAGTGGGGAGGCAGGACTTGAACTCTGAGCCGACTTCACAACTCCCACGCCTAAGCATACCGTTAAACCAGGTCCTGCAGCAGAAAGAGAGTCATCTCCGTGGGGGTTATTTTCCTGTAGGAACGATGACGTTGATGCAATATGATGTAGTAGGCAGTATATTGACCTTGAGGATGGTCATAGACATGGAAAGGTAGGGGTTTTAGCGTCTGGAGGCCAAGGCTCCAGCCTAGATGTCCGACACCTCTGTGTGCCTGGGCGGATTTCTTCCTTCCTTTGAGCTTCAGCTTTCTCTTCTGTATATTGGGAGCAACAATTCCATCGCCTTGTAATGGCCGTAGCAGCAATTATAGTCAGCTGTCTGGCACCAAGGAGTAAGGTGATCTCCAGACTGGTAACTGCCTGGAATCCAGGGTCCCAGAAGGAAATGGTGGCACGTTTAAATTAGGGTAATTTGAGAAAAGGTTAATAAAGGGACTACTGTGTTTATGAAGGGGTGGGCAGGGAAATCAGGAAGGAGGGATAGTATTCCAGGGCTAGTAATAGCAGGGCCCGTGTTCATCTTAAGGCCTGAAGAGGTGATGGGAGTGTCCGGTTTTCCCAAAAGTTGTGTGGAAAGGGCTCCTGAGAGGAGCCAAGACCTTTGGTCAAGGGGTGCAGCTCTAGTTTACTATCAGGGATTGGGACCAGAGAAGAAATACTCTGACCTACCTCTCTTCCTCTCTCCAAACATCTGCTGGTCCCTTCCGCTAGGCAAACCCTGCTGGAAGAAGGAGAACCAGAGACCCCATCTGTGTGGTCCACACAGCAGGGTGGAGCAGAGGGTGCAGTGGATTTGGGGGGCAAGCAGATCGAGGACATTCTTGCTCATTTGCAGATGAGAAAACAGGCTTAGAACAATGTTAAGATGATTTGCTCAAAGTCACTTGTAAGGGGATTTGAACCTCTTGAGGTTGTGGACCAAATGGTGCACTGAATGTGAAATCACTTAGTGATGTGACATTGTTAGCTTAGGTCACTCAGCCTTGCTGGATATGCGATTCCTTGTATATCTTCTCTGGTAGTGATGTTTTTGTTAAGTTGTGAAATGGTGATATCCTTTATTGGTGTAGCTCAGATTTTCAACCAGTGTGCCACAAGAATTTTTAATACCTGACTATTTTAATACCTGACTAATACCTGACTAATAGTCAATACCTGACTAGTCAGGAGCACTTACCTTTCCCTTAGATTGTCAAATGCCAAAATGACAGTAGCCAGTACAACAATAACTGTCCAGTGTGAATGAATCAAAATTATACCTATTTTGTTGTCAGGTTGGCAAAAAATATATTTTTGTGTGTGCAACAGAATTTTAGTGATCAGGCTGTGTGTGCCATGAAATGAAAAAGGTTGAAAATCGCTGGTATAGGTTGTCCCCGGAACCAGTTGGGGTAGGCAGGTGGTTACCATTTCTGCTTTCCATAAACAAGTATCTCATTGTTCACTCAATCTTTTATTCATTCAGCAAATGCACTGTCATATGGGTGCCAGGCTGACTGTGTCTCTGTCCTGCTGAAAACCTATTCTTCAGACTTCCAGCTTCGCCCTTTCAGTGAGCCATTAGCTTGGATCTTACTATTCTGTGAGGTAGGGGAAATAGGATTATCTGTTTCAGTGGAAGGGGAAGCTTGGAGGTGGAGGGTACCCAGTTTACTAGAGAGGAGGAGTCCGGGCAGAGGTCTCCTGGGTACTGGTGTTCTGTAGTTGCCTGTCCTGCATCAGGCCACGGAGGGTGGGATGGAGCTCAGAAGGTGACCACTCAGGATGGGATCTGGCAGGTGATGGTGAGTTGAAGAGCTCTGGCTTTATCCTCTTTGTCCTGGGGTCTAGAAATGGACTTTTCCAATTTTTCCAAACTTCCCTCTCCCCTCATTCTCATCCCAGTTTCCAGTTCTGGCTGTAACTGCTTTTGTGGTGGACCACACCGATGAGTAACTTCCAGATAGGCCTGTGAAAAACTCAGGGGCCATGTTTGCGATTTCCAGTTCTCGTCCCTGTGTGTATTTGAGGGAAGCTGGCAGTTAGCTGTGGTGTCTGTCCATGTAACTAGGCAAAGCTTTTCCATTATTTGTGTTTGTCCTGAAAGTGAAAGTGGCACACCATGGTGCCTTACAAGTTATTTCAGCTCTCAGAGCCTGTGATGTCCCAGTTGGTAAGAGGGGGGTTGTTGTAGTGCCTCCCCCACCGGGCTGTTGTGGACTTGAAGTGACAACTTGTGTAAAGCTGCTGGCAGAGTTTGGCACATAGTAGGTGCCATGCCAAGGCCCGCTCTCTCCTTTCCTGCGGTGGTAGCGTGTGTCCTTTCACAAGGCCTCTGTTATTTCTCCACTCCCACTCAGGCCCCGTTTGTGCTGTTAGGGAGTTAGGAAATCAGTTAGCAGATAACTTTGTGCATTGGCTAAGCCGCCTCTTTGTTTCAAGCATCCTTTGTTGTTAATGATGTGCTGAGACCAGAATAGACCAGCATGTGTACTCACTTGTCAGTGCTGCTTGAGCTCTGTGGAAATGTCTCTTAAATGCATCTCAGTATGCATTTAATGTACAGACTTTCAGAGCACCCCCCATATTTGCTGTCTCTATTAGCTGGGTCTAAAGATCAGAAATTTAGATAAAAAATCACTTAGAGGGCTCCTCTACCTCAGTGACTTTTATACCTTTTTCTTCTAACCTCTGCATGATACTCACGTGAGGGACACTTGCATAGGCATTCCTTACACTAACTACTAAGGGCTCTCCCACCTCTCTTCATGCTCAGCAAACACATTCAGACCCAGGTAAGTTGTGAGTTGGTGGGGTGACAGGGAGAACCTAGAATGTTCTTTAATAAGGAAAATACAAATCTTTCACAAACTTAATTTCTTCAACTATTGTTACCGGTGTGACACACTTGACAGTCAGTTTTGAAAACTTGAGAACCAGAGCTTTACCCCAGCTCCTTCCTGGTACAAGTGAGGAAAGGAATCACTGGAGGTTAGAGCACTTGTGTCCTGACCTAGGCCGTCACATAACCAGGGGATGGGAGCAGCTGGTCAGGTTTTATAAATCAGCAGGGCAGCCTTGCTACAAGTCTTCGAAAGAATTAGTAGGTCATGCTCTTATTTGTTATTGATTTTCCTTTATATTTTTGTATGTGAATTGGTACATGCAAACACAGTTCACATCTGTAAATTATAGAGGATGGTAATCAACTGAACACGTACCCCACCACTCCTCTGAGGGTTAGAGCTGAGTCAGTTGTGTGTATCTCTGGGAGTCTCCTCTGTTCCTCTGTCCCGCCTGGCCCCTTCTCCCTTGCCCCACTCCTAAAGCTCAGGTACTACTTTCTTGAATCTTGTGCATGTTCTTCTTTTGGAAAACATGTATAGTTTTATTACTTAGGTATGCATCCTTAAGCAGTGTATTGTCCACCTTTGTTTGTTTTTGAGCTTTTAAAAAAGTAGATCACGCTCTATGTAATCTTCTGGGACTGCTTTCCACCCAGCAGCGGGTTTCTAAGAGTCATCCATTTTACTTGTCGTTGCAGTTTATTCATTTTGACAGCTGTTTATCAGTCCTTCTGGCATTTGGATGGCAGTAGTGGTCCCCCCTGCCTCCCCACCCCTCATTACAAACAAGTTACACTGAAACATGTATAAAGGTTTCTCTGTGTTCTTGTTTTTCAAACTGGCGTCATGGTCATGGGTCCTGAATTCACTTTAGAGGATACAACCAGCGCCACCTCTGTAACCTATTTTTTGTCTTCCAGGCACTCTCTTCTGTTCTGTTGGTCAGTTTGTCTATCCTGTGTCCATTTCATGGTCTGACTCATTATTATTGAGACTTGGTATCTGATAAGACAAATGCTCCTATGTGTATTGTAATGCACTAACTAGTCTCTAGATTATTAAGAGTACATTGTCAGATGGCAGAATGTTAATTGAATGAAGTATAAGTAATCTGCCATCTCTGGAGTGGGAAATATTTATTGCTGAAATGTGGCAGATATTTGAAGAATAGATGCTAGTTTAGTCTTTGTAGATTTAAGGTAACCCCATATCCTAACTTATTTGAAAGAGACCAGTTCCCTCGCAAGAATCCTTTCCTGTTGCCCTTTTATAGCCACAGTTTCTGACCTCTGGCAATCTCTAATCTTTTCTCCACTTCTAGAATTTTATCATTTCAAGAATATTGTGTAAATGGAATCATACAGTATGTGACTTTTTGAGATTAGTCTTTTTCATTCAGCACAATTTCCTCATGATTTGTCTATGTTGTGTGTATATTAGTTCCTTTTTATGACTGAGTAGTGTTCCATGGTGTGGGTGTGCCATGGTTAGTTTAATCATTCACCATTGAAGGACATCTGGGTTGTTTCCAGTTTTGGCTATTAGAAATAAAGTGGTTGTGAACGTTCATGTATGGGAGTTTGTGTGAACATAGGTTTTATTTCTCTGGGAAAATGCCCAAGGGTGCACTTTCTGGGTGATATGGTAGTACTGTATTTAATTTTATAAGAAACTGACAAACTGTTTTCCAGAATTGTTATACCCATTTTACATTTCCATCAGTAATGTATAAGTGATCCAGATTTTTGAATCTTCTGCAGCATTTAGTATTGTCACTGTTTTTTTATTCTAGCCATTCTGTTAGGTGTGTAATGGTATCTCATTGTGGTTTTAATTTGTATTTCCCTGATAGCTCGTAATGTTGACATTATTCACGTGCACGTGCTTGCCATCTTTGTGTCCTCTTTGGATATACATGTTGGTTCCTGTCTTTTGCCCATTTCTAAATTGGATTTTTGTTTTTTTCACTGTTGAGTTTGGAGTTGTATCTTTTAGATATTAGTCTTTTGTCAGATATGTGGTTTGTAAATATATTTTCCCAGTCCTTAGCTTGTCTTTGCGTCCTCTTAGCATAGTCTTTTACAGAACAAAACGTTTTAATTTTGATAAGGTCCTAATTTGCTGAGTGGTTTTTTTTTTTTTTTTTTTTTTTATCATGAATGGTTGTTGGATTTTGTCAAATGCATTTTCTGTATTAATTGATATCATGAATTTTTTCGTTAGCCTGTTGATATAGTAGATTACAGTGATTGGTTTTCAAAGATTGGACTAGCCTCGCATACCTGGAATAAATCCCGCTTAATCATGGTGTCAAATTCTTTTCAAGCATTGATTTTGGTTCTTTCAGTTTTCTTGTCCACACTGCTTGTTGTAGCCCACTTACTTTGATTTGCTATATATTTCATTCAGTTCTGCGTATTTTTAAATTTTCTTTGAAACTTCCTGTTCAACTCATAGATTATTTAGAAGTGTATTGCTTAATTTCCAAGTGTTTAGAAATTTTGCTACTGTTACTAATTTCTAGTTTGATTCTACTGTGATCAGAAAATGTACTCTGTATTATTTCATTTCTTTTAAAATTGTTGAGGTTCGTTTTCTGGCCCAGGATATGGTCTCAGTAAATGGAATGTTCCATGGACACTTGAGAAAAAAATGTGTATTCTATTATTGTTGGTTGGAGTGTTCTGTCTTATCAATTAGATCATGTTGTTGTTGATGGTGTTACTGAGTACTTCTATATCCTTGCCGATTATCTGTTTAGTAGTGAATAACTTGCCTACGGTCACACGTTGTGTTTATTTATTTGTGTCATTAGAATGTTTCCTGTGTTTTAGAGAGAACCAAGTGTGTTCTGACAGGAATTGTCACAGACTTGAAGGAACTTGATAGTTATTAGAAAAAGCCTCTTTTAATGATTGTTTTCCTTCTTTTTCCTGAGGGTAAATGTTTTATTTCTATTTTAGAGGCTCTCCGAGATGGCACATTTATTTTGTTTATGACAGGCATGTGCATTGTCACCAATGGTGGAAAAAGCTAAGTTTTGATGATAGCATTTTAAATGTCAACTTCTGTTTCTTTCCCTTTTAGCTGTCTATCAGTGTCTATGACTACAACTGCCACGTGGACCTGATCAGGCTGCTCCGCCTGGAAGGGGAGCTCACCAAAGTGAGGGCGGCCCGCCTGAAGATGAGTGAGATCTTTCCTTTGACTGAAGGTAAACACTTCATCAGCCAGGCTGCCTTCATAAACACAATTTGCAAAACATAAAAGTGCCCAGCAGGTGTAGAATATTATGGTTTTAGTGATTTGATCTTATTTGGAGCCATAAGCCTTCTCTGGGCTTGGTGCAGGTTTCAAGAATTGAATTTCTGTGAACTGTGCCAGGTTGTGTGAGAGGTATGAAATGTTTGCACGCTGATGACTCACAGTTCGTGCTTGCTCGCAGACTGACTGCCCTTCGGGGAGGGAGCTGGTAACGCAGGCCGTGCTATTGTCTTGTAGAGCTCTGGCTGGAGTGGCTGCACGACGAGATCAACATGGCAATGGACGGCCTGGACAGAGAGCACGTGTACGAGCTCTTCGAGAAAGCCGTGAAGGATTACATATGTAAGTTCCCGTGGGCGTCGTCCAGTGCGCCCCGCAGGCACCCTGCATCAGTCTCTGCTATCGTGGGTTGTGTTTGAGATGCCACTGCCCGGAAAAGAGCCTTAGTCTAGCAGTCAGCAAGATTGGAGTTCAGCTGTTTTCATTGTTGTCTATGGTTTTCAGTGGAAGATACTTGGTTTTAAAATACAGGTATGCCTCATTGTATTGCACTTAGCAGATACTGTTTTTTTTGTTTTTTTTTTTAATACAAACTGAAGGTTTGTGGCAACCCTGTGTTGAACAAGTCTATCGGCACCATTTTTACCAATAGTTTCAGATGGTAGCAGTTTTTAACAATTAAGTATTTTAAAATTAAGGTATGTACATTTTAAAAGACATAATGCTATTGCACATTTAACAGACAATAGTATAGTGTAAACATAACATATATGCACTGGGAAACCAAAAATTTGTGTGACTCACTTGATTTTGATATTCACTTTATTGTGGGGGTCTGGAACTGAACCTGCAGCATCTGTGAGATCCGCCTGTACAAGTAGAAGAATGTTTGTAGTAAGTGGATGAATATACTCCCAGCATTTATCTGGCAGGAAGAATTTACATGGTATTTGCAGATGACTAACAATTATCTTTTACATGTTGAATAGGTTTTTAGGAGTTTTTTTAATATTAAGAAACTTAAAACTTATTTTTTTATCCCCACTCAAGGACTTTTTTGCATTCATCTTCAGATAGAGTGGGAGGGAGAGAGAGAGAAAAACATTGATGTGAGAGAGACACATCGAGTGGTTGCCACCCACACAACCCCAACAGGGGCCGGGGGGCCGGGGACAGACTGCAACCGAGGTATGTGCCCTTAGCGGGAACCGAACCTGGGTCTCTCTGGTCCGCGGGCCGACGCTCTTAACTGCTAAGCCAAACCGGCCAGGGCAAAACTACTTATTTTGAAATAATTCTATATTTATAGGAACTTGCAAAAATAGTACAGAGAAGTCCTGTGTACTTACTTCATCCAATTTTCCCCAATGTCTTAAAACAATAGTACAAAATCAAAACCAGGAAATTGACCTTGGTACAGTGCATGTGTATAGTTCTGTGAATGTTACCCTTGTAGATTCTGGTAGCCACTAGTACATTCGAGATCCAGAACCCTCCCTCACCACAGAGCCCCCTTGGCTCCTGGTGCTGACAGTTCACCAGTGCAAGTGAATGATTTAACTTCCCTTTACCCTCCCCTGTTGATGGTTAATTCTCTAAATATTTTCTCTACGTACATTGGGGAGTACATCAGACAGTGCGGTGGACAAAATGTTTTAAAGAGCATTACAAAATGCACCCCCCCTTTTAATTAAGCATCCTTCTTCCCCATCTCATTTTTCTTTCTTTCTTTTCAATGGGGGTATTTCCCTTTGTGAGAAGCATCAGCACTTAGAAGATAGATTGAAATGAGGGAGAGGATTGTTGTGTGTACCTTTACCAGTCAAGAAGAATATAATTAAAAAAATTTTTTTATAATTCAGATAGTGAAAATAATAGGTATTTTGTGAATATAAAATTATACTGAATGTGCCTTTATTTATTTATTTTTCCTTTATTGATTTTTAGGGAGAGAGTAAGGGAGAGAGATAGAAACATCGATGAGAGAGAACATCGATTGGCCGCCTGTAGCATGCCCCCATCTGGGGATCAGGCCCACAACCTGGGCATGTGCCCTGACTGGGAATCAAACTGGTGACCTCTGGGTGCATGTTTCGACGCTCAACCACTGAGTCACACCAGCCAGGCTGTCTAGATAATTTCAATGTTGGGAGGAGCCATGATGTAATCTATTGAAAATTACCTTCTCTTAGAGGAGGAACTGTTGACCATTTATAAACTTGACTTATCCTCACTAAGGCCTTCACTTCCGAGAGCTAGCTTATTTCCATTTTTATTTTGCAGCCCATCTGGCATCACTATATTGGTGAATGAAAACAGAGTAGCTAAAGCTTGGGCTAAGTTCTCAAAATAAACCTACTTCAATGAAAAAGCAAGCCTCAGGAAAACATAGTAATCCTCAAATGGCTTTGATATCTTTCTAGTATTTTTATTTTACAAAGTTAGTGTATAGACCTCTGAAATTATTTTCAGATCTTTGAAAAGTATAGGCAAAGCATCTATAGTAAGAATTGATGTATTCATAAAGAGCTTAATTCATTTGGTCTTAAAGCTATGGGAGTGAGTATATAAAAAGTTTAAAAAGGGTAAAGAAACAAAGCAACCAGACCTTTTTTGTCATCTTTGTTTAAACATCATTTGGGTATTTCATGTTGTGAACTAACAGAACACTTCTCATTTTTAGGTCCAAACATTTGGCTAGAGTACGGCCAGTACTCAGTCGGTGGGATTGGTCAGAAAGGGGGCCTTGAGAAAGTCCGCTCTGTGTTTGAAAGGGCTCTCTCATCTGTTGGTTTACACATGACCAAAGGATTGGCCATCTGGGAGGCTTATCGGGAGTTCGAAAGTGCGATTGTGGAAGCTGCCCGGGTGAGTTCCTGTCTCTGACCAGTGCTTGCATCTGAATAGTCGGGGCTGCCTTTGTAAGTGCTCCTGGAAGAACATAGTTAATAACATGGTCTTTGCCAATCCCTTGGTGAGTGGGCAGTAAAATAAAATCAGTAGTCTTTGTGGACTAGCAAGAATGATTTCTTTGACTATAAAGCACATAACCCTACATTTTGTTCCTGATATTTAAAAATACAACTGTTTTAGTTACTGGTTCCAGGATAAAATACAAGAATAACTATGTCACCACCCCCACCCTCCACCCAAAAATGTCCAGTAGTAACAGTCATAATTACACTTTTTTAGACTACAATTTATAGAATTTTACTGTCCCTCTCCACTGTGTTTGTGAGGGTGCACACTGAGTTACTGATACATAGTGAACCTCTCTAATAGTTAGATCGTTATTGTTAAAGTAGCCCAGCCCCTTTTTGGGTTATGTCCCTGTTGAAAAATCTGCATTGATGCCTTCAGCTTTATCAAGGCGTCAAGGCTGACTCCTCTGGCTGACACTTGTAGCTTTCTGGTATCAGACAGAACCCTGCGTGGACTCTGCTCCCACACTCTCCTCAACATTCTTGTACTTTCTGGCCACTGTACTTTTACTCAGAATGTTCCTTCAAATGGGAGTCACTTTCCTTCTCTTGCTACCTCTGGAGAGCCTGCAGACACATCCCAAGTGCCAGCCCCTCCAGGAGGCTTTCCTGATGTCCTCAGTACAATACCGCCCTGCCTAAACCAGCTGAGAGCAAGCCGTACTGCTGACACTCGTGATGCTTGGCTTTTATGACATCGGCCTCATTATAGTCATTGGATACGTTTCTTACATTCCTTCTTGCTTTCTCTCTATCATGAACACTTAGTAGCAGAAATAACTTTTATTTTTGTACCTCTTGTAGCATTTGACACAATACCTCATGTGTAAGAGGTCATACATTTTTTTTTTTTTAGTTTGAACTAAAATATGTGTGTGGAAATAATTTTTGAGGTAGGAAGACCCAGAGTTTGTCATTTACTACAAATTTGCTTCTTTAGCCCATGGCTGGCTTCCTTTCCCCTTCTGACTGGGAACAAACCTTTGATTCACAGCTGGAGAAGGTGCACAGTCTCTTCCGGCGACAGCTGGCGATCCCACTCTACGGTAAGAGAAACTGACACGTCAAGAGGCAGCCCTTCATAGTTTTTAAAATGCTCTGGGGTATGTCATGTAATTAGGCTTTCCCCAGTATCCCGTGAGGCAAATGTGGCTGGCCCTATTCTCACCGGATGGTGCCACTGTGGACGAGTCCCTTGACCAAAAGATACCTTTTTTTTTTCCCCCTTATTATGTATTTTACTGTTCCCCTTTCCCCTGCCCCACTCGTAACTCCTGTCGCAGTCAAAAAGATACCTTGAATTATTAATGCTCAAGTGGGCTGTGAGGGTCAGGATCATTATGATGTTGTTGGAGAGGCAGAGGTGGGGGGGGGGGTCTCTGAAAGGGATAGGAAAACTGACATCCTGCATTTTCTGGGGAAACTGGGTTGAATCATGAGCATTTCTTTTGAGGAGTAACCTCTTCCATGGCAGTGGGGGTTTTACACGGGCCCATGTCATTCCCTGGGGAGGGGTGGCCTGGTTTAGGAGCACCATTGACTGGAAGTATTCATATCTGAATTTCTTGGGGGTTTGGTACAGATTCTCCTTTTTGAGTCAGTGTATTTTGTCAGGCCAAGCCTTTGAGGTTCTGGAGCTTGAGCATGAGCAGCACTGGGAGGGATTTTCGGCACATGGGAGAGTTTGGCGCTGCCATCTTGTTGATTCCTAGGCATGGTGTGTACTGCACACCCTCAGAACCTCTGGACAGCTTCACCGGAGCCCAGGCGTTATTTCTCTTTTTACTTCATAGTTATTTGGATTTGATTTAGCAAATTATGAAGTGTCTCTCTAGTCGAATCCTTGGGCGACATGCAGAAAAGGCTAGAATGGAGCTGGCTGGTAGATTTCATCTCACCAGTGTGAGGGGGCTAGCATAGTGAGTAGAGCATGAACTTGAGCCACATTACCTGGGTTCAAAACCTTGCTCTGCTGTTTCCTGTGGATAATTGATGTCATCCTCTGCAAAATGGGGATCACATTAGAACCTACCTCATAGAGTTGTGAGGATCAAATGAGTTAAAGGCTGTGATGGGTTAGAAAATAGGCAGTGCCCAGGTAAGTGTTGTTAAAGTGTTACTGTTAGTTTCGTTAACTCTGATTGCTTAATAAGTTGGTAGGACTGCCTGGGACAGTACTTTGAGACAGAGTCTAAGGCCAAGTCTGAGCTCAGCAGAAGAGCTTAAGATTCAATCAGTAAGAGCTGCTATGGCCACATATATGGAGTGGGGGGTGGTTAGGGGCACCTGAGTCTCATGGTTTAATCTAATTTTGAATTGATATAACCCAATGGCAAGACCCACGGGGCTGAATCCATCTTTCAATAGATATGGAGGCGACATTTGCAGAGTATGAAGAATGGTCGGAAGACCCAATACCAGAGTCGGTAATTCAGAGCTATAACAAAGCACTACAGCAGTTGGAGAAATATAAACCCTATGAAGAAGCACTGGTAAGTGTTGGCTCTTTTTGCAGTAAATTTCTCTCTGTAAACTTTTCCCTAATTGGTAGTTGCAAGTAAAACAGTATCTTTAAAACTTGTTTTATCGTGAAATATATAGAGTGTATAAATGTATACTACAGTTTACATACTAATAATAAAGTGAACATCCATGTACCCACCACCCAGGTTAAGAAATAGAACATTGCCAGTACCTTAGAAGTCTCCTATGTGCCCCTCTCCGATTGCCTCCTCTTCCCTCTCCCGAGAGGTAATCACTTTCCTGACTTTTGTGATACTCATTCCCTTGCTTTTCTTTATAGTTTTACAACCTATGAACATACCCTTAATTTATTGTTTAAATTTTGCTTGTTTTTGAACTTGTATATAATGGAATCATGCTACATATTTTCTTTCATTCAACGTGGTTTGGGGTTTTACTCATTGATAAGTATAGTTACAGCCCATTTATTTTGCTATAAAGTTGTCTGTATGTAAACAATTTATTCATGTTAGTTAGGTTGTTTTCAGTGTCTGCTAGGAGCAACAGCGTTGCTTTGGCTATTGCACATATCTTTGGTACACATGAAAAAGTTTCTCTGCGTGTATACCTGGGAATGGAACTGTTTTCCAGGTTATCCATTCATACTCCTACTAGCAGTATCTGAGACTTCTCATTGCTTTTGCTTAACTTTGGATATTGACAGTCTTAAATTTAGCCAATCTGTTGAGTCTGAAACTGGTGTTTTAATTTGCATTTCCCTGGTTACTAATGAGGTTGAGCATCTTCTCACATCTATTGGCCGTTCAGATTTTCTTTTTTGGTGAAGTGCCTGTGTGGTGAAGTATGTCTTTGACACGCGTTCCTTTTGGTTTATCTTTCTTTCTAATTGATTAGTGGGGGTCCTGGCACTTAATTCTTCCTTTTAGTTGTATGTATTGCAAATCACCCCCCCCCCCGAAGTTTGTGGTTTGTCTTCTTTTAAAAATGGCATCTTTTCATGTCCAATTTTAATGTAATTGGATTTATCATTCTTTTCCTTATGGTTTGTGCTTGTTATGCTTAAGAAATTTCTCTATACTATGAAGTCATTAATATACTTAGTTCTATCTTCTGAAAGTTTGTAATTTTGTATTTTATGTTTAGGTCTCCATTTGGAAATGATTTTTATGTGTGGTATGAAGCAGGTCAGGTTTTTCCACGTGGAGAACCAGTTGTTCCAGCGCTGACTCTGACCGCCCCCGCCCCCCCCCCCCCTCCCCCCCCGCGCATGTGCAGGCCCACATCTGTCGTAGATGAGCTCTCCACTTAGGTGTGGGTCTCTTTCTGGCCTCTCCCTGCCGTCCCACTGGTTTACAGTATGCTGTCGTAATGATGATAATTTTGTAAGTTCTGATCTTAGGCAGCTGAGTTCCCTGCTTTTTGTTCTTTTCAAGAGGATCGTGGCTTTCGTTACCTCTTAATGCTTTCATTAAATTTAGAATTTGCTTTTCAGATCCTATTAAAAACACTTGAATTCTTTATTGGAATTGCAGTGAATCTGTAGATCAATTTGGGGAAGAATTTACACCTTTTAAACATCAAATCTCCCAATCTGTGAACATGGTATAGACCTCTGCTATTTAAAATAGGCCTTGTCTTTCTGTAAAGTTTTATAAATTTGTAAATTCATCTAATGTCTTGAACACATTTTTTTTTTTTTTTTTAATCCTCACCCGAGGACATTTTTCCATTTTTTGCACAGACAGAGTGGGAGGGAGGAGAGAGGAAGAGAGAGAGAGGGAAACATCGATGTGAAAGGGACATATCGAGTGGCTGCCACCTGCACGACCAACCAGGGCCGGGGACAAACTGCAACCGAGGTACATGCCCTTAGCGGGAACCGAACCCGGGTCTCTCCGGACCGCAGGCGGATGCTCTAACCGCTGAGCCAAACCGGCCAGGGCATTGAACACATTTTTATATGTATTTCTACATGGTAGTTGATACTATTGGAAAAAATCTTTTTAAAGATTTTATTTTCTAGTTGTTCTTGGTATATAAAATATAATTTGTTTTTTAGATTCATTTTTTAATCTAACTTTCTAGGTTCTTACTAATATTAAGTTATGTCCTGACCAGATAATCCATTTGTTTAGAGCGTCATCCTGATATGCCAAGGTTGCAGGTTTGATCTCCGGTCAGGGCACATACAATTATCAACCTGTGAATGCATAAATAAGTGGAACAACAAATCGATGTGTTTCTCTCTCTAAAAATCAGTAAATAAAATTGAAAAATTACAGATTCTTTTAAATTTACTGTGTGGACAATATTTGTGGGTTGTTTTTTTTTAAAACAATGTTATTATTTGTAAGTGGCATTCCCCCCTCCCTTTCTTGGTCTTAGAATGCTTTTAACTTTATTTATCATGCCTCAGACTTAGTCTCTTGTTATCTTGTATTTCTTGCCTTTCTGTTTGATCCACGGCATCCTTGTTAATTTTGCATCATACTGTCTGGTTTGTTTACATTTACTACATGTATGTGCTGCTTCTTTCCTCTTCCTTCCTCCGTGCAACCTAGATCTTTCATTTGAAATCACTTTTCTCTTGCTTGAAGTCCACCCTTTGGAATCTCTCTCACTGGACGTTTGCTAGGAACAGACTTTCTCAGTTTTTGTTTGTTTGAAAAAGTTTTACTTTGTTGCTCTCCTTTTAAGTTACTTTCTCAGGATGTAGAATTCTGACTGACAGTTGTGTTTTCTCAGCAATTAAATAGATCTTTCTGTCTTTTGACTTCTGTTGTTGAAAAGTCAGCTAACTCTTGCTTTGAAGGTAATCCTTATTTTTTCCTCTGGCTGATTTTAATCTCATTGGTTTTGGTTTGATATCCTGCAATTTCACTATAGTAGGTTCAGGTGTGGATTTTATCCTGCTTGTGGTTTGTAGGGCTTCTTGGCTTTGAGTTTGGTCTCTCTCATGACTTAGTGAGTTAGAACACAGATATTGAGGGCCAGGCTACCTCCAGTTTGAATTTTAGCTCTGCCACTTAGTAGCTCTCTCTGATTTTGGGCTAGCCTCCTTGTGTCTCATTTGCCTTGAATGTAAGGTGAGGATAGTAATGATACCTGCCTCATAGGGTTGTTATGACGATCCAAGTTTTAATGTATCTTAAGCCAGCAAAAGCTTGACCTTCGCTTAGCTTAACCACCTTCACTTAGATCTTGTCCTTAGTATTTCTCATTTCTTTACCAGTTTGTTGATGATTTTCAAGATGTTTTTGTATTTAATCTGGCAGTTTAGTTGTTTTCAGAGACACAGTGTCTGGGTATCTTGTTTGTCATTATTACTAGGAACTGCAGCTCTAAGACATATCATCTTTCTATGTTCAGAGCACGTGTGCTCTCTTGCTGGCCTGCATGTGCTCCCTGTCCCTTTTTACATGTAAATGATATGTATATAATTGTATTTCACAAAGTCTCATTAATGACATCCTCAGCCAGTTCAGTTTTGTTTCGACTATCAGCAGAGTGTCACTGAAAAGAAAACAAGTTGAAGAAGAGAATTTAGTCTGAAAAGACTTTTGATTGTACTTTTTTGGCTCAGTAAACCTTCAGTATAGCCTCTTCCATCTTCTTCATGTACCTGTACTCTGGCATTTGGAAGAGAAACCTGAACTAGCACAAGGCACTGGGTTAATCCAGTGTGGTTGCTTTCTCTCCACTCAGAAGGCCTTGAAAATAACTTCTGTTTTGGAAAGATGACTCACATTGCTCATTGGCAAAGGTGTTTCTCTTTCATTCAGTTCCTGACTGATGGGAGATTTAAATTTCCTGTAGTCCAGGGTTGGATTTAGAAAAAGGTTTAAAGTGCCTTTGTGGCTATTGCCATGAATGGGGGACACTTTGCTCTCACTCAGCCCATCAAATTATAGATCCCAGTGTGCAGAGGTTCTGAGAGGGTTTGGTGATTCTTGGTGTAGCCAGTCTCACCAGAGTTGAATAGGAAGATTTGTTGTGCTTCCTGACACTGTCAAGCAGCTCATTTCAAGTTCATTGCCATTCTCCTTCGTCCCAGTTGGAAGCAGAGGCACCCAGGCTGGCCGAATATCAAGCGTACATTGATTTTGAGATGAAAATCGGCGATCCTGCCCGTATTCAGTTGATCTTTGAGCGTGCCCTGGTTGAGAACTGCCTCGTTCCTGACTTATGGATCCGTTACAGTCAGTACCTAGTAAGATAACTGTTCTGATTTCATTTTATTTTTACCAGTTTGGGATATACTTAAAGAAAATCAGTGTGCTTGGAGTTAGTGCATGCTGCTCGCCCCTGCTTCTCATTTTTCCTTCATCCTCCTTTTTCTTCTCTTTGTCAGCTCACTTAGGAAGTTTTCCTAGTGTTTTAAGTTATTTTAAACCGACCAATAACAAAAAATTGCATAGTTTTACTATTAAAGATTTTATAATAATTTTTTAAACTTTTGTTATGGAAAAATGTAATCACATAAATGTAGACAGATTAGTAAAATGAAACCTCATGTACCCATCACCCAGTTTCAACAGTTACCTAACAGTACTAATGTACTTTCATCTGTATCCTTACTTTCCCCATTCCATGTTATTTTAAATTAAATCCAGAAATCACATTTCCTTGGTAAATATTTCAATATATATGTATAAAGATTTGAATCAGGATGCAAACGTTAGGATTGGCTGATGCTTTTAAGGCAGTTTTAATCTATAGGTTCCCCTCTCCACCTCTCTTCTCCCTTACTTTCCTTGTGATTTCTTTGTTGAAGAAATCAGTCACAAGAGACATTTCTAAGGAAATTTCATTTGTCCGTTGATTGTGCTGGAAATGTCTTGTGGATGGTGAAGTCTTAATCATAAAAATTTATCTCCTTACCCTGGAATTCTTTGTCATAGGATCGGCAGCTGAAAGTCAAGGATTTGGTTTTATCTGTACATAATCGTGCTGTTAGAAACTGCCCCTGGACAGTTGCCCTGTGGAGTCGGTACCTCTTGGCCATGGAAAGACATGGAGTTGATCATCAAGTGATTTCTGGTGCGCAAGTTTTTGTGGGACGATTTCAAAGCTTTTTGTCCCAAGTCAGAAGCTAGAGTTCTGACAAAGTCATTAAATCAGCGTTCCCCAGGATGCTACTCTGGGATAGTGGGTAATAGGGACAAAAAGTGCTCTAAGTGGGAGATAAACTGGTTATACCTTTTGCTTCTTGGAGCTTTTTAACATGCTAATATTTATTGTGATCTTCCAGGAGTCTCCTCTCCAAACTTAGTTATCCTGGAATTCTTATTGCCTTTTCTAGAACAGCTGGTGCATTGCTGTAGTAGCTTTTCATTTGAACATTTCTTTCTAGCTTATTTCACTTTGTTGCATCTTATGATGATGTTAAATCATACAGTATTTTATAGTTAGTAGAGGTTTTCATAATACTTTTGAAAGCTTTGTATTAATTTCCTTATGAATTGCCCACAAACCCTGTCTTTTTCTTCAACTCCAGTGACCTTCGAGAAAGCTTTGAGTGCTGGCTTCATCCAGGCCACTGATTATGTGGAGATCTGGCAAGCACACCTTGATTACTTGAGGAGAAGGGTTGATTTCAAACAAGGTATTTAATGCATGTGCTTTATATCAGGGCTATGCTTTTTCTTAACATATCTTTTGGTGAGATGTTCTAGTTGCCCAAATACATCATGATTGGGCAAATGTTGTAGACCAGCCATTGGTAACTTTTTTCCCCCAGAAGTTTTAGCTATTTAAGTCTTTAATAAGTTATGCTGTGGATTGTAAAGGAAGAGAGTAATGGTCTTTAATGTTTTATGCTGGCTCTTACCAGCTTCTTCGGTCTCATTTTGTATTTCTTTCTCCTCTCCCTTCTATATGTCCAAAATAATTCTATAAGTAAGACTGCTGTGTTTCTATTAAATCTTTTTCTTTTTTTAAAATACGTTTTTATTGATTTTTTAGAGAGAGAGAGGAAGGGGGAAAGAGAGAGAGAGAGAGAGAGAGAAACATCCATGTGAAAGAAACATCGATGTGAGAGAGACATCGATCGGCTGCCTCTTGTATGCCCCCTACTGGGCATGTGCCCTGACCAGGAATAGAACCAGGACCTCTCAGTCCATGGCACAACACTCAATCGGCCAGGCTCTGTTAAATTTTTGAACCTCTGCAGGACTCCCCTTCCTTTCTCCTTTCCCCCTTCAAAAAGAATAGCAGTGAAAACCGGTTGTCTTACTCATTCTTGCATGCTCGTGCACATGGCCTCAGCCATTCCACTGGCTGGGAGACCGCCGCGTGGCACCCTGTGCTCACTGTTGTCATTGTACTGCCCGTGCTGTGCTCTGCTTCAGTGTCTCTTTCCCACTGTGTGATGAGGGCAGGGGCTGCCACTTTCATTTCTGTGTCTTCAGCATGATGTCAGGTGCATAAATTGGCCCTTGGGAATTCCAGTGTAGGATTAAAAAAAAAAGTGCTTTGTAGCTTCATAAACCTCTTTTGCTTCCAGACTCCAGTAAAGAGCTGGAAGAGTTGAGGTCGGCATTCGCTCGTGCTTTGGAGTATCTGAAACAAGAGGTGGAAGAACGTAAGTGTGGCCCTGATTTCCTGCTTTGTCCAGTTGTAGTTCCTGTTCTCAGTTGATGTGCGTTTTCAGGCACAGGCTCTTTGTCTCTAAATTACTTTCTAATTTTGACTAATTCTATTTTTAAAGGTTTCAATGAGAGTGGAGATCCAAGCTGCATGATCATGCAGAACTGGGCTAGGATTGAGGTAAATGTTTTTGACAATTCCTTCAGCTTCATCTACCTTTGAAGGACCTTTGTCTGATACTGTGGCTGAAGTTGAGTCAGAATCCCAGCTGATGGTCTAGGCTCTGTGGGGACTCGTGTTATGTACCTAGCTTGATGCACATTGTTTATATCTTGGTGGAAATGTTAGTTCCCAGGGAGAAGGTGTGCAGCAAATGTCAGCGCCAGGTGTTCGTTCACCCTCTACTTCTCCTCTCCCTTGCTCGGTGCCTCATTCATGAGAGCATATCAGGTGTGGACTGTTGGCCAGGCATTGACTGGGTGCTGGGAAATGAGGTAGACACGTCCCTGCACTAGTAAAGCTTTAATCTTGTGTGGAAGACAGACAGTTTGACAGATAATTACAGGATGTAATGAGTTGAATGTTATTACTGGACCAACGACCCCAACGGGAGTAGGACATGGAACCTGCCCTGGTCAGCTCATACAACTATAAACTTCTGATGTTCCATTCTTTGAGGGGGAGTCAGGTCAAAGAAACGTTTATTGGGTAGTTTCTGGCTGGGATGTTTGTGTTGTAATCATTTTAAAGTTGAGGCAACTGAGGCTTAGAGCTTCAGCAGCTTGCCCAGGCACTTAGTGGCAGAGCTGGCTTTGGCTTCTAGATCAGACTGCCTGTCTCTGCACTGCCCCTCCAATTGAACACTTGTAGCTAAGTCTGATAAAAGTAAGAAGCGACTAGCCAATACTGTTGTAGCGCCCACAGGCTCCCGATCTTTGTTCCCAGCAAGAGGCATAGGCAGACAGCGTGAGGCTTGTCTCTGCAGAAAGGCTGACGTGGTTGGGCTGGGCCTGTTACTGGAGGGCGGCCGAGGTAATGTCCAGGGATTTATGTGACTGATAGTTCGGGGATGGCTTTTTAGGTGTATCAGTGTGAGGTATGCTTTGGAAGGGGTGTCATAAGGCTCAGGTGCTTTCCTAACTGAGCCTTGTAATGCTTATTAGGCTCGACTGTGTAATAACATGCAGAAAGCTCGGGAGCTCTGGGACAGCATCATGACCAAAGGAAACGCCAAGTACGCCAACATGTGGCTTGAGTATTACAATCTGGAAAGGTAAGGACGTGAGGTGGGGAGGCAGTGCTGTGTCAGGAGTAACCTGTCTGACCTTTGCTGTTTTCAATGGGCCACCACCTTCCTTCATCCTGTCTCTTTCAGTAGTGGGCGGGGATAGAGAACCAAGCATAGTATTTTGTGCCTGGGTGGTTATAGCTCTGTGTTTCTTTTAAAAAAACTTGTCTTTTGTTTTGAATTTTGGACATGAATGTTTTATTTGACTGTTTTGTGAGCGACTTAATTTTTATTATATTTGCTTTGTATATAAAGTGTAAAATACTAAAAAGCACAGAGGAAAGAACCAATGATCATGGACCTAGATGTAACCACCATTAGTTAATTGTTTGAGTATATTCTTTGAGACTTTATCTGTGCTTAAATATTTAAAAAATGAAAAAATATAGTGCACCAGTTTTAAACCTATAAAATAACTTTAATAAGATATATCCAGTAATACTGATAACATGGGGAAAATATAAAGATACGACCAGCATTTTTATTCAGTATATCCTGAACATAGAACGTTTCCTATAATCCTGCCCCAGAGGTGACACTATTACAGCTTATTGAATACTCTTCTTGGTCAGCAGTTCTCAAACTTTTTGGTCTCAGAACCCCTTGGCACTCTTATAGAATTTGAGGACCCCCAAATTTGTTTATGTGAATTATCTAGACCTCTAATTAATTTCCATATTAGAAAGTGAAAATGGTGTTCCATGGGGAAAAAAAAAACCAGAAAAAACTAGTTTAGATTGTAGTCCAGACAATGACAGCTTTTCTTTGCAAAACCATCGGATGTGGTGTGCAGACGTTTTATGTGGAGCGTGCTGGAAGCGAGAGGCTCCCGTGGCACCAACCTGTGGGAAGACTGCCCCTCCCTTTGTGTGCCTTCTGCTTTGAGTCCTGGTGGCAGCGCCTGTTTGCTTTCTGCCCTAGAGCACACGGTGACACCCAGCACTGCAGGAAGGCTCTGCACCGGGCCGTCCAGTGCACCAGTGACTACCCAGAGCACGTCTGTGAAGTGTTGCTCACCATGGAGAGGACAGAAGGTGGGGACCCTCGGTTCTGTGCTTCTGGCTCGGAGTCTGTAAGGACAGACTGTGTTATGGCTACAGCCCCTCAAGTGGCACTCTGTGACTTGACTGTCATGTGGTGGTCCCTATGAGATCAAATCCTCTGAGATTCTCCAGATCCAAGGAGGACTCTCCATAGTTCTAGCATGGCTTCTCAGAAATCTTTGTGGAGGGGCCGTCTTGTGCTTTGTAGCGTCTTCAGCAGCGCCCCTGGCCTCTCTCTGCCCACTAGGTGCCACTAGCACTCCTTCCTGTCCCCAGTCACAACAACCAAAAGTGACTCTAGATGTTGCTGAATGTTCCCTGGCAGTCAGGATCACTCCACTTGAGACCCCTGCTCGAGCGTGCCGTGCATGCCAAGGAGCACAGAGGCAGACGGCTCGTGTGGTCGCCTGCCGAGGTTTAGAGCCTCCGTGTGAAGGCTCTAAAACAGCGTTGGTCTGGATTTGGAGTGGGAACCCTCAAACCTTGAAATAAAACACCCAAAGAACAACAAATTCCGAAACACCCCAACATCGATCATTTGAGACACTCTTCGAATGTCTTAATATAATTGTCTCACACCTTTTGCACTGGAATGTTTTTATAATCTTTGCCAGGGAGCACCCACAACAGATCATATGCTGGGTTTCAGGTCTCTTTTCTAAAAGAGAAGGGATGTTTTAAACACACCTTGGAAGGACTGTTGGAATTCTAAAGGTTTAAGTGTACCTAATGAAGTCGTCTTAAAATGGGGAGCTGACTCTCTAGTTATTGTCTGATGGGAACTATGTCCTCCAGAGTGTGGGGAAATGAAAAGTCTGTTGTTGTATCTTTCAAAAACCTACAAATTGAAAGTTTGCTTCTCTTTCCATGAAGGTACTTTAGAAGATTGGGATATAGCCGTTCAGAAAACTGAAACTCGATTAGCTCGTGTTAATGAGCAGAGGGTTAAGGTAATGATGTTGTTTATTTGAAGTCTTGGGAACCTCTGATCGCTATTTTGACTGTGTTTGGGATGAATATTTTTTTTGTCAAAATCTTTGAGGTCTTTCTAAAAAGTGTCTTGCTTAGAAAGTATTTATTATGAAATATCTGAATCAATTTTTAAACCAGTCTTATATTTACTTTTTAGAATGGTTTTAAACTTGAACCCCCAAAATAAATACTTTTGTATGTAGTAGGGGAATTTTGACCCTAAAATTTACTAGAATAGACAAAAAAACAAAAACAAAAAAAAAGCCAATGAAAAGGAGCCTCACTTAGCCTAGTGATTGGAATCTGAACACGTCCAAATTAATTAGGGCCCCAGTTTCCTAGATTATTTTCTTTCTTGGTGAATAATTACTGGGGCTATCGTATGACATGCTGTGGACTTGAGAGGCAGCGTCCTGAGAGGCCCGGAGAGCGCCGGCAGGGGAGCTTGCTTTTCCCTCATCTCGTCCTGTCACTTGGGTAAAGGATTTTCACTCTGTCCTTGTTCATCCTTCTCATCGCAAGGCAGTAGAGTTCACATCATTGCTGCGTCTGGTGATGCATCATGTGCCCAATTTTCCAGGCTGCAGAGAAGGAAGCTGCCCTCATCCAGCAAGAGGAAGAAAAGGCCGAACACCGGAAGAGGGCCAGGGCCGAGAAGAAAGTGTTGAAAAAGAAGAAAAAGACCAGAGGCGCAGAGAAGCGCAAAGCAGACGAGGATGATGAGAAAGAGTGGGGCGATGATGAGGAAGGTAAAGCTTTTCAGAAATTTTGTTTTGGAACATCTCAACCATCCAGAGATTGTAAAAAGCAGTACAAAGAACTTTGCCCATCACCCTTCCTGTTCCTGCCTACTTCTGTGCCCTGTGCCAGGTACTGCCCTGCACAGAGACCTGGGCTCCACCCCCTACACTGCATTGTCGCCTCCACTGCCCTCCTGTGTGGTGCCCTCTTCACCCCCTCGGGCTCCCGTACCACAAGCTGTCCGTGTCACTGCCCCATGTGTGGGCATCCCCTTCTCCCACTCAGAGTCCAGCCACCCTGCACACACCTGCCTTGTGCCCCCACCTGTGGTTTTGACTTGGTAGAACTTACTAACCATTGTTTCTGTCAACTCTCAACTTCAGGAATGGGCAAGTATGGGTCAGATTTGTTTCAGCAGAGTCAGTCAAGGTAAAGAATTGTCTAGACATTGAACTCTGTACTCTCCCCCAGTGTGAAGTTGTCAGCCAGAGGGAAATAGTCATGGAGTCATCATTCGGTTGACTTTTTCTTGCACATCTTATGGGGGCCTTCAGAAATGACCGTGGCAGCTCATTGCCCTTCAGAGCCCCTGGTTTAGCAGGATAAGGCGAATGGACTAGTGACTGCAGGGTGCGTAGTCAGGTTGTAGCCGGTGGAGGTGTGGATTACGGTGGACGTCAAGGAGGCACGTGTGGCTCGGCTCCCTGCAGGAGAGTTCATGGGGAAGTGGAGCGTGCACCTCGGCATCTGGGGAGGAGGGAGTGACTGTCAGGCTAAAAATGGAAGACAGCCAGACACAGTCGGTGTTAGCAAAGCACAAGGCACAGAACAGCCTGGCATTTTCTCTGAGCAGCAAAACTGGGTTTGTGCCAGGTGGGGGCCAGGTGCAGGGTGGTGAGGCTGGAGCAGCTGGCTGGGCCCTACTCAGGGCTGCTCTTGAAGGCAGCACACAGGGGTTAGACTTCATTGGGAAGCGGGGAAATTGGTGGCAGGGTCTGAAAGGGGGGGGCCAATGCCAACTGGGTTTCAGTGCAGTGCCTCTGGAGACAGTGGAGAGAATGGGTTGGTGTGGAATGTTACTCAACTCTCTTGAAGGACACGAGACAGTAGTGGACGTTTTTAGGAACTATAGACCCTTTGTAGAGCTTTCCAGAGCATGGCCCACATGTGAGGTACATACTTCAGAGTGACCCAAGGTGCCCGTTTAAATGCAGGTCCCCAAGCCCCATCCTGCCCTTGCTGCCCTGGGCCTTTTAGGAGATGGGCCTTGGAATTTGCCAGCTGTACTTTTGAACTCCCTGACCTTTCATGTTATTAAGAGTAGGCAGTGTTATCACTTCTGCTTGACTTAGCCCACTTACCTGAATGTAATCAGGGACAGGGCCAAGCTTGGCAGGTGTGGTGCATGCAGGTCTGCAGAGGGGAATGAGTGTTGGTCACAAGCAGCTGTGCAGACTAGCTGTTTGCAGTGGGAGGAGCATGCACGTGGACTAGCTCAGCGCGAGAAGAAACGGGTAATCATTGCTGTTTTCTCCTGACAACCTGTAGAGCAGCCTGCCAAACGCAGAAGGGTTGAGAACAGCGTTCCTCCAGCTGCAGAAGGACCGGACCTGGAAGCGGAAACCGGACTCTTTGGGAAAAGCGCACCCGCAGATGTCGCTCCCTCCTCAAAGCAGGAGAGGGTGGCTGCCCCGAAGAGGGACCTGCCCAAGGTGCCCCACGACAGCAGCAAGGACAACATCACCGTCTTTGTCAGCAACCTGCCCTACAGCATGGAGGAGCCGGACGTGAAGCTCCGGCCGCTCTTCGAGGCCTGTGGGGAAGTGGTCGAGGTCCGCCCCATCTTCAGCAACCGGGGCCATTTCCGAGGCTACTGCTACGTGGAGTTTAAAGAGGAGAAGTCGGCCCTGCAGGCACTGCAGTTGGACCGGACGGATGTAGGCGGGAGGCCAATGTTTGTTTCCCCTTGTGTGGATAAGAGCAAAAATCCTGATTTTAAGGTATGTTTGTGGAAAAAAGAATGCCTTTCGTGCAGAGTTGCTTTAGGCCGACTGAATACTCTTTTTTGTGCGGCAACTAATATTTTAAATATACACGGAATTACCTATGCTTTGTTAAGAACTGAATTGCACGTTAATTGAATGGCTCGGTCACTTGGAGCTTGCATTGCTGATAAATGGACGTAAAATGAGGAACTGTAATAATGGTGACTGTCCACTGAATGCATAGGAGTGACAAGGGACTGTGCTAAATGTTTTATGGATTACCTCATGGGATTCTCACCCGCTCTGAGAATAGCTATTTTCATTGTTGTCATTTTACAGAGGAGGAAGTGGGGGCTTCAAGAGGTTGAATGACATGCCTGGGGTGACCTAGTTAACAATTCCCAGCACGTAGAGTAAGCTCCGGTCTGCCCGGATCTGTAGATGAGGCCGGTGCTGGCTGGGGCTAGCCGGTGTGCTGGGCTGGGCCTCCAGTCATCGGTGTCCCCTCCTGTCTTCCTTAGGTGTTCAGGTACAGCACTGTCCTGGAGAAACACAAGCTGTTTATCTCAGGCCTTCCTTTTTCCTGCACTAAAGAGGAACTTGAAGAGATCTGTAAGGCTCATGGCACTGTGAAGGACATCAGGCTGGTTACCAACCGGGCCGGCAAACCAAAGGTCAGCATTGGAATGGATGGCCGGCTCTTTGCCTTCCGAGGCTTGGGAGAACCTCGTTCTAACTGCAGAGATCACTGAGTTCTAGAGTGGGTTCCTCCTAGTCTGTGTGCTAAGAAACAGAAGATAACAGGATAGGTACACTAGGCTCTACTTGCATTTGGAGTCAGATTAACCTGCTTGTAGCTAATTGTACTACAAAGAGTAAGGCATTCCCCTGGCCAGTTTGGCTCAGCTGTTAGAGCATTGGCCCTTGGACCAAAGGGTCTCAGGTTCAATTCTTGGTCAAGGGCACATACCTGGGTTGCAGGTTCAATCCCCAGCCCCCGTTGGGGCGCATTTGGGAGGCAACCATTCGATGTGTCTCTCACATCGATGTTTCTCTCTCCCTCTCCCTTCCACCTCCTTCCCTTCCACTCTATAAAAATCAATGGAAAAAATCTTCAGGAAGAGATTAACCAAACAAAAAAAAGAATAAGGCATTAAAATAACAGCAACCAAATCTACCACAAATTAGCAGGGAGCATAGTGCAGATCCTGGACTATGGGTGAGGACTTGGGGTGAGGGGCTGTTCTCTGCAGTCTCCTCCTTCCTGCCCAGACTCCTTTTCACAAGGCTCCAGCCATTTCCTCGGGTCCCTCCACTGGACTCCCTGTTACCTCCTCCCTCGAGTCCCTTCTCAGTCTCGCATTAAGTCCTTTTCGCACCACATCTTGAGCAGTGTTGTTTAAGCATGAGTTTGGATTACTTTGTTCCCCCCTCTCCTTCTCCAGGTTAATCGAGAGTTAGAGTAAGATAAGGGGGTGGCATGAAGGCACAGATGTTAGGGCACAGCTGGGCTGCTTCCCCATGTCCAGGCCACCTCGGCCATTTGCTGGATTTATACTGGTCCGTGTCTTCCTCTTACAGTCAGTTGCAGAAATGGGGAGAAAGAGTAGCGGGGGGAATAAACCTGTAGACTAAGGATGGCAGTGGTGGGGAAGGTCACCTGTTGCTGGGGTGCCTGCCCTGTCCTGGCCCGCCCTCCCCCCACCTGAGGGAGGAAGTCACGTCCTGGCTGTGCAGCATCTGACCTGACTGGCCTCTTTCAGGGCCTGGCCTATGTGGAGTACGAAAGTGAATCCCAGGCATCGCAGGCTGTCATGAAGATGGATGGCATGACTGTCAAAGAGAACAGCATCAAAGTGGCCATCAGCAACCCCCCTCAGAGGAAAGCTCCCGAGAAGCCAGAAGCAAGGAAAGGACCAGGGGCCCCCATAGTGCCGCGGCAGATATACGGAGCGTGAGTATTTGCGCGCTAGCCATGCACACTTCATCCTGGCCAGCTCCACGATGGGTTGGTTTCCTGTTAGCACAGCGCGTTAGGACAGAAAGCCAGGGCCTGCTGTCCACTGTAGTCACCGGAGCAGGGTGTCCAGAATGTGTCCCTGTAGAGAGCAAGCCCGGAAGTGGAACCCTTCCTGGTGTTTGCCAATTTACACTTGTGATTTATTTAAGGTCAAATTTTTCTCAGTCTGATTAAAGTCCTCTTTGCTAGTGGAATCCACATATTTAAAGAGAGCTGACAACCATATGCTTGCCAGGGTCACCTGCAGCTCTGGCTGTCACTGCAGGAGCTGTCTACCTGCTGGCTGACCCAGCACAACTGCCAGGGGCTTTGGTGAGGTCTGGAAGGTTACAGCTGTTTTATCTGCCCATGGGTGACTATATTGCAGTGTGTCCTTGCCAACGTTAGGAAGAAGGCCACGGTAGTTTAACGTGATTTTTACCCACTAGTCAGTCAAGGAGACATAGTCTTTATCTTATCCTATTTTTTTCACTTTTGAACTTTGAGTGATTTAGACTCTCCTGGCTTATTTTCACAAAAGAACCAGGGGCCCCAAATCGTTGCTTTGGAAAGGGTACATTCCGTGTTTGCTCTTCCAGGCGGGGGAAGGGCAGGACCCAGCTCTCTCTGCTGCCTCGCGCCCTGCAACGCCCGAGCACGGCGGTAGTTCAGGCCGAGAACGGCCCTGCCCCGAAGCCAGCAGTCGCCGAGGCTCCCAAGATGTCCAATGCTGACTTTGCCAAGTTGCTGCTGAGAAAGTGAATGGGACTCTGAGAAGGGAGATGCCTTACTTCTTGCTGGCTGGGAGGACCACCTGTCACCCAGCTGTACCCTGGGTATGGAAGGGCCCGGGCAGCGCTGCGCTCACGTGCCTCCCCGGTTTAGACAGCAGGGGACGGGTGTCCAAGGAAAGAGGCTCTACGTGTTCCCTCACATTGAGGGTGACAGGAGGAGAACAGGCACGCCACAGGTTGGACACCGCGTGTGGTTTCTACGCTGTTTTTGGTCTTTAAGAGTGAGATACAGGAGTGGAACTCCTTGGACACGCCGTTTTGAGACAAACTTGTCCAAATGTTTTTGGCCAACTCAGGCCCCTTCTTATAAGACACTTCTCTTACTCTCTGCATAGTACATGTGCCCGTCGCTCTTTTAATTTTTAAAAGACAGAATGGCAGATACTAGTAAATCACCAGAATGGCCTATTTTAGTAAAGAGGTGGGGTAGGGGAAGTCATATAAAAAAATTTGATGGATTTTTGTTCAAGGGGACTGAGTTTTTATATTATGTATTCCAAAATGACATGTCACCCATTGTTTTATGTTTCCTAAAAGTAAAATATTTGTACATTTGTTTCTATAGGAATTCCGTGTGCCACCTGCTGGGGCCATTTCCTCTGCCTAGTGAACAGTGGACTGTTTTGTCTAAGTACTGAGCTTTAGCCTTTGGTTTTGTTTAAATGTCAAGTACAAACAAATTTTCCTCATTTAGCTTTGTTTATTAAACTGAAGTTCTCTGAAAAACCTCTTGCAGAATGGTACCCAGCTGCTCACTCAAATGTGGGTATTTGAAATGTGTGTACCTTGCTTCACCTAACAGATGTGTAAATAGAACTTTTGTAAGTCAAATCCCATGGTCACTTTGATTGGAATCTTTTTGGCTGTGATGTGTCTTCAGTTTATGGCAGTTTAGCACTACCTTTTTGCTTTTTTACCCATACTATTTAATCAAATATCTGTTTCTTTGAAAGCGACATTGCCAGTCCAGTAGGGGAAACTTACTTTAGAAAGGCTCTGGGGTGGGGGTGGGGGGTCGGGAATTCTCTTAGATGTGCTGGAAATCAGCTCATCTGTTTCTGAGTGTTTGTGCATCAGTCAGGCTTCACCACAGTTTTTTATTTTTAATCCTCACCCGAGGACATTTTTGCATTTATCTTCAGATAGGGGGGGGGGGGCATTGATGTGAGAGAGACACATCGAGTGGCTGCCTCCCACACGACCCAACCAGGGCCAGAGACAAACTGCAACCGAGGTACGTGCCCTTAGTGGGAACTGAACCCAGGTCTCTGTGGTCCGCGGGCCGATGCTCTAACCACTGAGAAAAACCGGCCAGGGCTTCACCACATTTTTTAATGGAAAAGTAAAAATAAAAATAAGGAAACAGAATAGTAAGATAAACTCTTTACGTGCCTACCATTGAATGCCAGCACTTCCCACCTCAGAGCCCGTCTTTCTTCATCTCTGCCTCCACCTCCTGCTCCTCCGCGGTGCATTATGTTAGGGGTACCCCAGACGTCATAGCACTCACCCACAATAATGTGGCAAGGCTCTAAGGTGAGAACTCAAAAAGGCCATGGTCGTCGTCATTCATAGAAACATGAGCAGTAATACCTGTGTCATCAACCATCCAGCAAATTTCTAATTTCCTATTGCTTCATAAATGTCAATTTCACCCCATAAGATGGATGGATAATATCTTTTTAATCTGCAGGTCCCCCTCTACTGTGTCTTTCTTATGCACAGAAAAATTCGGTGTGAGGAGTACTGTGAAGTAAACTCCAGCAGTGGGTGTTTCTTCCCTCACAGCATCCAGAAGCTGCCGTAGCTCTGGCTCCTCCTGGCTGCTCCGAGGGCCCTCACCTCGCTCGGCAGCCTGTTTGGTGGGCGAGGCTTGGGCGGTCGGGGCTGCCACCAAAGAGCCATGGCTATTTCCTTATCCCTCCAGGGTCGGGTGGCTTTACTCTGCCACTTCCCGTTTTCACTGTGTGGCTCTCCTGCTATTGGCCGTTCCTCTGACCTCACTTCATACCTTCAGATGTCAGCACAGGCTGAAACAGGTGAACCTTTTTGGACTTGAGCAGGACCCACATCCAGCCATCATACCTGCTGGCTGTTCCAGATACAATTTTTCAGGAACATGTGACTGGGTTTGTGTGTTTCCCCCAGAAAATCATGAACTCATGGTAAACAGAAACATGAACTGCCATTCTAGTTACTGGAGTCGTGAAGATCAGCAACCCATGCCTGTCAGCCTAGGCAGGCAGCTTAGCCAGCTAGTGTTGTCTCGGTTTCCTCTGGACTCCTGTCGGGTCTGGTCCGCTGCCAGAACATAAATAGGACTGAAGTCTTGAAAACCACCCCTCCTGCACCCTTCTGACGGACAGGACCGTCTCTCGAAGACAGCAAAGTCTCAGGCATTCATTTAATGCAATAAAATACTTTATTAAGAGTCAGTTATTTGTTACTGTAATATCCTTCACATAGAGCTAAAGTGCCAATTTCTATAGCACAAAACCAGCGCTTTGTCAGGCTTCCTCGGTGTGCTTATAAAACCAAGATGAGAGAAGATTTAAAGTTTAAGAAATACCTTATGGCAACATACAAGTATGAAAATATTTTTTACAAAGATTTGAATAACCATCACTTGGGGCCCATTTTGTACATCTTTACACTTATTTTCCTTAATCTTTCAGAAAACTTCTGAATGTGCTTATTATACAATTAATTAACTATAAACTAAATACTTGCTCGTAGGAGCAGTGATCTCATTACTATCAGGATCTGAATGATCAGACCGGAGACAACACTGTATATTCTCACCATCAGTCAGACACTGACAAAGTGCAGCGCAGTGTTAGACATCGCGGGCTCTGTCCCTGGAAGGGGACCAGTGATTCCTGGCCATTCTCCCGAAATAGCAGCAGTGGTACGGCACCTGTGCCACACGTCATCGAAAGAGAAGTCTATTTCCATAGAAGGACAGCTTGGCTGTATTACCTTTTATAAGTTAGAAAAGTAAGGCCACTCCAAGGCAATCTATTCTGCTTCCCCGAGGGGATGCTGGACAGTACACTGGCTGTGGAAAGGGGGGGGGAGGGTGTCAGTAAGTGGATCTAAACTGCATGACAAAAGGGATGTGCCCTGGCTGTGGTCAAAGGTTTTTTGTGGTTCAGTACAAAGTGCTCTGATTCACCATCAGAATGCTTATTTGGCGTTGATGTGGTATCTGTTGAACTCGGAGAGTGGAGGGTGAGGGACTTGCCCACTGGCGCAGTGAAGATCCAGAGAACTTCTAGACTAAAACATCTGTCTGGGCTGCTGCAAAGGAAGCGAGAGAAACATGGACAGAAAAAGAGAAATCAGGCTGGCCATTCCCCTATTCTTAGTTAGAAAAATAGTCTTAATGTGGAAAAATAGCCTCCGACACTAGAGTTTGCAAACTATGGCTCTTCCTTGAAATAAGCAAGGTACCGAACTAGAAATGTTATCAACACTCATTTCACTATCTCAGAAGTCTGCCCTGCCAGTAAGAATTAGCACAACACTCATCTCTTTGTAGGGAAGCAAAAAACCTTTCAATCATTTCTCAAAACTGGGACCAGGTTCTCCCCGAGAGTGCCTGACCTCCCCGGGAAAGCCAAGTCTCAGAGAAAGATCTGGAGGAGTTAGTCCTATGTCTCTGGACCTCGCCCCAGTCTCAGCCCCCCGCCCCCCCTTAGTGCAAATTCTGCTCCAGAACCTGGTCTGGTCACACGAGCACTGGTGCCCCCAACGCCTGCTGGGACCACCGCAAGAATAGGCCACCAGCACAAATGGCAGACACCACACAACACTAGCTCAAAAGAAAATAAATAACTTGGCTGAATTATAAGTTATCTCTGAGACAAGGCTAAATAATTTAGGTTTTTTTTTTTTCCTTTTAACTAAACATTTGGAGGTAAAGAACGTTTAAGTTCCTCATCTGTCTCCTGCTCTGGGAGATGACAAGGTTTCTAGAAATGCTAAGTTGATGTTTTTCTCCCCTTGGAAATCCATTGTCACCAAGGGAGGACCTAAAGGGTTAGGGTTTCACAGGCAGCGTCTCCTTGAACCCAGAGTGGTTGGGTTTGGCCTCTGGCAATGCCACTGGGTACTCTGTTGTGGCAAAGAGCAGGGTGTCCAGGGTGGTCTCTGTACACTTGGCAATAAAGCGAATGAATGGCCTCACGTCGCCTTCATTGGCGACTTCCAGTACGTGGTAGTACTCCGATCTCTGCTCCTTGCGGATGGTGATGGGTGGGTAACCCGCCTGCATCAGGATGAGGTTCATCAGCAGGCGTGAGGTCCTTCCGTTGCCGTCAATGAAAGGGTGGATGTAAACGAGTTTATAATGGGCCAAGGCTGCAAATTCAACTGGGTGCAGACTCATAGCATCCTCGGAGTTGAGCCACTGGACGAACTCTTGCATCTGCTTTTCCACATCTTGCGGATGGGGAGGGATGTGGTGTCCCACAAGGACCTGTGTCGACCGAAACCTGCCGGCTTCCACGGGATCCACATAACCCAGCACCCGCCTGTGGATCTCCAATATGTCACTGATGGTGACGGACCCGATGCGGGAAACCAGTGTCGTGTTGACGTACTTCATTGCTGCGTGCATGCCAATGACCTCGTTCTGCTCCTCCAGGCTTTTCCCTGGCACAGCGTAGCGGGTCTCCAGGATGTGCCTGATTTCTGAGAGGGTGAGGGTGTTGCCCTCAATGGCAACCGTGTGGTAGATGTGGTGGTAGTACGTTTCCTCCATAACCCTCTGCAGTGCGGAGTTGCCCTTGGGGATGGACATGACTTTCTTCACTTTGCTGTCGATGATGCTAAAGTACCTCTGGTCGATCTCCTCCACCAGCGGCAGCGTCCGGTCCCGGTTGATCAGCGCTTTCTCATGGGAGGGCGAGATGGTCAGCGCTCTAGTGTACAAGTAATCTGCTTGGATGATGTCCTTTTCTTCCTCCGAGAAGATGCCAAACTCGGTGAGCGCATCCACAGAGTCTGGGTCCATATTCAGGGCGTGCAAGAAGAGCTTGTGGGCTTTCTCCCGCTTGCCCTGCCGTTTCATTTCCAGGGCTTGGTTCAAAGCTGCTCTGGCTTCCAACTTGGCGGCTAGAAAAGAGCCAAAGAAGCGTTGTCAGGGAGGGCAGGGAGCGACAAAGGACATTCAGGTGAGCTGTCAACTGTGCTGAGCTCCCAGGGGAAGCCAGGGCCTGTCCGTGCTTTGCAGCATGCCGGGTACCACTACACGTATGGATGTGTCTGTTCCCCACAGCCCCAGGGGTGCTCGGCTGGTGGTTTTCCTTTTATCCCCAGAGCCATTCTCTGTACCCTGGGAGGCATCCCTGGGTCTCCTGCCTTCCAACTGCCGTGCTGAGTAGCTGTTCCTGTGGCTACAGCTCCCACCACTGGGCCCTCCCTTCTCCAGCTCTTGGCTGTCTTGGTGATCCATCCTGATGGTGCCTCCCTGCCTCTAGGCCAGGCTGTGACTAGCTCCCCATTAGTACTAGCCTAGCCCTAAGTCTCCCCACAAGGGCCCTTCTTCTTTTTTTTTTTTAATATTTTTTTATTGATTTTTTTTTTTGAGAAAGAGAGGAAGGAAGAGATAGAAACATCGATATGAGAAACATTGATCGGCTGGCTGCCTCCTGCACGCGTCCCCCACTGGGGATCGAGCCCGAAATCCGGGCCTGTGCCCTGACCAGGAATCGAACCGGAACCTCTCAGTCCATGGGACGATGCTCAGTGCACTGAGCCACACTGGCCAGGCACAAGGGCCCTTCTTTAATTCTTTGAACCTAGTGCTTTTTGGCCTGCTTGACATCCAGTCTTCCTCCACCAGCCCCCACCAAGTCGGTGTCAGCCACACATACTGGGCTTTAGTTCAAGGGCCCCAGGCTCTCTCACCCTCTAGTCTCTGCTGAAGCACTCTCCCCTCATGACTGTTTCCTTGGGTCACTCCTGCTTACACTATGGTCTCAGCTTAGGGATCCTCTCCTCCAGGGAGCCTTCCTGGTGTGCTCTGTGGCCCCACTGGCTCCCCCATCACCACACGGATGGCACTGTATCTGTCACCTGTCAGCCTGTCTAGGCTGGGAGGTCAAGGCTGACTTCACTGTGATACCCTGTGTCCTGCACACAGGACAGAGACTCTAAATATCTATCACATTAACAAGCATCGAAGAGAGTGCTGCTCGTGTCACGGGGAGTGAGAAGACTCCATGGTTTCTGCCCTGTAATGTACAAAAAGTCGGACAACTATAACTCAGCAAAGGATCCCCTGCTCCACACACACGCGCCTGAAAGATCCAGGCGTCAGGACATCTGAGATGGGAAGTAGGGGAGGCGGGGTCGGGGAGGGACATGGATTGTGGCTGCAGGTAAGGTTCAGAGTCCACTGTGGCTCCAGCGAGTGTGCAGCGGTGCAGAAGTTGTGCTACAGCCCGGAGTAAGGAGGGCAGGGCGCTTCCCTGCAGGGAAGGCATCGATCTGCCTTCCGGGCTCCCATCTGGGCAAGGCCAGGTAGAGGCGGCTGGGAAATGGTGCCAACAGCCTCAGCTGCTGGTGGAGGGCAAAGCCGTGGTTCGCCAGCTTGCCTCCCCGGCCCCAGACACCCTGGCAGAACCCGGTGAGAAAGCCGGGAAATGAAAACACGGCACACCCGCGCTGTGGGATGCAGCAAAGGCGCAGAGCGGCAGAGATCGAAACTGGTGCTGGCAGGAACACAGACACACAGACCCGTGGAACAGGACTGAGCCCAGAAATAAGCCCGCACATACATGGGCAACTAATTTTCATAAAGAGCCAAGAACACAACAGAGAAAGGAAAGTGTCTTCAAGAAATGGTGATAAAACTGGACAGCCAGCCTGGCCGGTGTGGCTCAGTGGCTGAGTGTGGACCCAAGAGGTCGCCGGTTCAATTCCTGGTCAGGGCACATGCCCAGGTTGTGGGCCCGATCCCCAGTGGGGGGCATGCAGGAGGCGGCCAGTCGATGTTCTCTCTCATCGATGTTTCTATCTCTCCCTCTCCTTTCCTCTCTAAAATCAAGAAAAAAAAATTAAGAATAGAGCTATTGTATGACTCAGCAATCCCCTCTCTGGGTATCTACCCCCCAAATTTGAAAACACTTATTCACCAAGATATACGCACCCCTATGTTCACCACAGCATTCTTCACAAAACATGGAAGCAACCCAAGTGTCCTTCGACGGATGAATGGATAAAGAAGATGTACATACATACAACGGGGTACTATTAGCCATAGAGATGAAATATTGCCATTTGCCATAGCATAGATGGAGCTTGAGAGTACTGTGCTAAGTGAGCTTAGACGGAAAAGGACAAGAACTGTATGAATTCTCCCATAAGTGGGATATAAAACAAAAAGCAACAAATGAACAAACAAAGTTCATATATACAGACGCAGAATGGTGTTCCCAAAGGGGAAGGGAAGTGGGGGAGGACAAAGAGGGTAAAGGAGGTCAAATACATGGTGATGGAAGGTGACTGGACTTCAGGCAGTGAGCAAATAGAAGATATAGATGTATTATAAAGTTGTACACCTCAAATTTATATGTTATTAACCAGTGTTAGTCCACCGAATTTAAACAGTGTAAATAACACAAATGACAACATCAGTAAAATGTTGCATAATCACAAAAAAGCAAAAAAACAAGAGTTGAGGAGAGACAGCCACTCTGTCTTACCCGGAGAGGGCTTGCTCTTGACCACCAGCAATGCTGCATCCTTGGAGGTGACACTGAGTTCCGTGGATGGGCTGGTACATTTGGAGACGGTGTGCTGTGCCCTGTCCAACTTGCTCCTGAGCAGGTAGAAGCCTTTGAGCAAGGACAAACACTGCTCCTCCATGGCCCCCAGGGGCAGCAACAGGGCCAGCAGGGACCCCAGCACCATGCTCAGCAGCATCACCCACAGGAAGCGGCCCCAGATTGGGACCCATTTTGGTTCAACCACGGCCATCACTGAAGCCATCGGCATGAGTGTCATCTGGACTCAGGGGTGGGCCCCTTGCACATACCCACAGTCGTCTGGGAGAGAGCTGGATCTAAAAGGAACCAAGAGTTGTAGGAGATGACACGTTTAGGATACATTTCTAACTCCTGCTAGGGCTTGGAGACTCCCATGCTTCTTAACTCACTGACCTGAGGGTGGAGGCAAGCAAGGAGTGGATATAAATGGGGAGGGGCCAGTCTGGAAGGACTGGGGCCACCTCCAGGGTGGTGCGTCTCTGAAAAGCAATGCTGCAGTTGCCCAGCATTTATTAAGCACTTACTGTGTGCCAGGCCCTGTGCTAAGCACTAAGGACCTACACATACCCTCCTGCAACCTTCAACAGGAGCTGATGCTACGTCAACCCACTTTTCAGATGAGGAAACAGGCTTAGAGAGGTGAAGTGTCTCTGCCCCAAGTCACCCAGTGAGCAAATGGCAGCCTTAGGACTTCAATTCAGGACCCAGTGTCTCTAAAGTCTCCCCTCTTTATCACAAATTCTGTGGCCTCTGACCCCAAACAATAAGTATCCGGGACAAAAGTAAACATACACACGTATCCAGATTGACTCAGGCAGTTCTGTGGCCCATTCTTGGATAAGCACAACTGGTGGCCTGATTTACTGTTGCATGGCCGGCCACCTCTTTCTGTCCTCGTCCTGACATTAGCCACAATGCCGATCCTCTCTCTGACCTTCCTTTTCTGGCCTGTCCAGCTGGGATGCCACCTAGAGTTTGGGTAGTCGAGCATCTCAGAAAGAACTCAGGTGTGGGCCACAGTGACCCCTTGCCCCCTGTGACAGTGGGCTTGTGCTTGGGGCCGGCAGCGGGAGTGGAGGGGTCAGGTATGCAAGCACCATTATGCTAACAATAGGCATTTATTGGGCAACTCCAGTGTGCAGAGCTTTGAGCTAAGTGCTAGCCCTGCGTTATCTCACCTACCCTTCAGCAGAGGCAAGCTACACCAGTTCCATTTTACAGACGAGGGAAACGGGACACAGACAGGGTAAGTCCATGCCCAGAAGGCCCACAGGGAGTCAACAGTGGCCTGGGGAACGAATCCTCAGTGCGTCTGGGTCCGGGGTGCTGCAGTCTTGACCTCTAACAACCCGGGCCCGTGCACCTGCTCGGGGCTGCTCCCGGTGCTAGGCCAACAGGAACCAGAAATGGTTGATTAGGTTGATTGCTCGGGGCTGAGTCTAACGGGGGAGCCTGGCCCGTTGACACCGGACACGAGAAGCGGCTTGGTACGGGCTCTAACGGGGGTACGCTTGGCGTGCGGTGGGGGCACGCAGACGGTGCGGGTCACTGCTTCGTCCAGGTGGGCTGCGCGCGCTCCCCGAGGACGGGCTCGTCGGTGGGGCTGGAGTTCGCCGGGGACGCGGGTGTCGAGACCGGGGAGCAGTGCGTTCCCGGAGGCGCGGCTCTCACCCCTCACTACGCTAGGAAGGGGGAAACTGAGGCCCAGAGAGGGGCGGGGACTGGACTAAGGTCATTCTGGGGAGCCGCTCCTTCTGAAACCCGGCCCAGGCTCTCCGCCCTGCCGCACCCTTCCCGGCTCAATCCTTTGGCCCTCGGGCTCGCCCCCTCCTCACCGCGCACCTCGGCCAGGCCCCCGCCGCCGCCTTCCCGGCGTTCGCAAGCTCCGCGGCGCGGGCTGGCAGAACCTCCTCCGCCGCCGCCGCCGGCCTTCTGGCCCCGCCCTCGCCGACTCGCCATTGGTCGGCCCGTCCTTCTCGTCACCGCGGGTTGGCTTTCCGCACTGGTCCGCCCCTCTCATTTCCGGGTTCTCGGGTCGCCGTCGGCTTCCCGGGGAAAGACTCGCCGTGGGCCACTCCCATTGGCTGGCGCTTGTGTTTGTCTCGTGCCCGCAGCAGCCAATAAAAAACAGGAGGGGCGGGCCTTGGGCAACAGGCGCGAGTAGCGGGTGCGGAGAACGCCGGCGGACGCGGTTTTGGGGCGCTCTATGTACAGGCTTGGCAACTCGGAAACTCGCAATTCCGGTAGCTTGGAACTGCTGCCCTTCCTGCAGGTCCCAGCCGGGACATCTCTCCAGGCCTCAGTTTCCCTAGGTGTAATATGAGGGTGTTGATTTGCGCCTCTCCACCCTGTTAGTCTGACTTAACAGCCCAGGTCTCATCCTCCACCTGGGCTACCAGGATTGCGTTTCCCCTTTCTCTCAACTTCTCTCTTTTCTTCCCTGACTTTTAATGTGGATCCTCCAGGGAAGGGCCTGGCTGTTTGTATTGGCTTCCCAGAGAGAGAGAGGAGTTTTTCCTTCATGCAAAAAGCTGAAGCCCTCCCCCTCGCCCCCGAATTTCCATCTTAATTCACAAATATGAAACATCCAGGACGTGCCCAGTAATTCTAAGCATTGAGAAGATGTATGTCAACCGATTGTTGGTGTCAATTCAATGCCGACAGGAGTCCCCAGTTTGGGCTGTGGTGAAGTTGGAGACCAGTGAAAACTGGCTCAGTCATGAAACAGCACAGGGGGGGCACAGCAGGCTGTGAGGTGGCGGGGTCGGGCAGCCCGGCCTGGCAGCTCAGCCCGCTGTGACAAGTCCACGTCTCTCGGGTGAGCCGGCTTTGGTGTTACAGCTCAGCTCTGGCCTGGCTGCGCCTGACCCTTCAAGATCTGACCTCCTCCACAACTCACATTCCCTTTGGGGAGCCATTCTGAGGGAGTGGTAGTGGGTGTCACCATTGGAATCACAGAGCCCCGAGTTCAAATCCCACGTCTACCACTTGCAAACGGAGTACATTCAGCGATTTGACCTCGCTGATCCCGTGATCCTGTGTGCTTTTCGTAAGATTGGGGCACTATGATGACAGTACATCCTCTAGGGTTTTGTGTGAGGGCAAAGTTTTAAGTGTCTGCTACTGCAATTATTCCTAGAAAAGACACCAAGTCATTGCTGTTTGATTTGTTATCTGCAGAAGAAACTGTCAGAGCTCCAGCCTGCTCCAGCCACTGGGAAGAGGCCCCATTGCTGTTTGTAGGTCTCAGTCTGATTCAGTTTTAGGGAAGCCGCTGACCCACAGCACAAAAGGAAGTGTCCAGGCCCAGGCCAGAGGTGTGCTGTCATGAAAGACACCATGTGGGGACATTGCTCTTTGGGCCTCCTGTTTATAGCTTATAACTGGCTCCAACTTCCCCAAGTCCCAGCCCTTGGCATGAAGAATGGCATGTGGTAGATGCTCAAGAAATGTTGACTGGAATAAGAAACATCTGAAGTAGGACTAACCATGGAGTTTTTAAGAAACAAAATCAGGATTGTGGTTATTTCTGGGGCTTCTTGTTTGTATCTTTTGAACAAAAATCTGGAACATTGTTCTCTCAGGGTCCCCTGAATATCACTTCTGATGGCCCAAGCAGTAATGTAAAGACCTTTCCCAGAGGAGGGCCTGCTATATAACCAGCTAACGATGGTGAATGGTTGGTGGGGTGGAAAGCAGTGAAGCTCTGGGGTCAGACAGATGTGTGTTCAAATGCAGGGTCCACTACTTACTAGCTGTGTGACCTTGAGCAGTTCACTTACTCTCACTGAACTGGGTATTATGGGGCCTGTGGACCTTTGTCCCCTCCCAGGCATAAGGTGATATAATCACCTACTTTTATTTTATTATTATTATTTTTGTTAATCCTCACCCAAGGATATTTTTCCATTGACTCTTTTAGATAGAGTGGAAGGGAGGGAAGAAGAGAGAGAGAAGAGAGAGAAACATTGATGTGAGAGAGACACATCTATTGGTTGCCTCCTGCATGACCCCGACTGGGGCTACAGATGGAACCTGCAACCCAGGTACGTGCCCTTGACATGAATAGAACCCGTGACCCTTTGGTCTGCAGGTTGACGTTCCAACTGCTGAGCTATACAGGCCAGGGCTAATCACCTACTTTTAAAGATACCATCCTTTCTTCACTCCTTTTTGGGATGCCAGTGCAAACTCTTTAATGAGATTAGTCCGTGGTAGCAAATCCAGAAGCTATATAAGAACCATTAGTGAGTAAAACTGTGCCTGGGCATGAGACAATAGGGAAAGGTGGGGAGTATGGAGAATGTGGGAGCACTGTCTTGTCCAAAGTGGGCAGCAGCTTCTCAGTTCTAGCCTACATTTATTATGCTAGGGTGCAGTCCAGAAATTGACAGATTTTCCTATTTTCCAGATGTGTCAGGGCTAGATTTTTAAACAGTTGGCACGTTTGCCTGTCGGCCAGAGCGAGCTGCCAGATCCCTGCTTAAAGGCTTTTAAAATGGGCAGGAAGCCAGTCAATGAGTCTGTTTACCTGAATGTGTTTCTGCAGAAATTTAGAGAAAGCTGGCAATAGAAAAGCCATGCTATGAGCCTTAAAGACATTGAAGTCATTAAGGTCCCTGAAAATGGCTATAAAAAATAAATAAATAAAACGGGCAGGAGATGGTGGCAGGGAACGCAGGAAGCAACGCCACAAATGACTCTCAGCAAATGATTGCACCACTGTCTGTGGACACCAGGGGGCAGTAATTCACCTGGCATCGCGTCCCCCATTCAATCCCCTTGTCAGGAGAGCACACTCAATTTTCTTTCTAGACTTTGTCTGCATTCAGTTGTGTTAAATGCACAAAATATGGTCCCTGAAGCGATATTGAAAAGTTGTTTTTCTCCATCTTAAGTATTCTGTACTGGGTGGAAATTGCCTCCCAGTGGCCCACAGAGGAGTTTTCTAAAAGCTTACCTTGACACTTGACAAAGAACCGGGAAAGTGGCTGCATGGGAAATGTGTCCATTATGCAAAACAAAACAAAACAAAACAAAAAAGCCTTATGCTCCTTTAAGAAACAGCATTCAAGCACTTCTTGCTGGCAGAGGCAGATTTGATTGCTTAGACACACAAAACCCTCCAACTTGAGGTTATATTGTATTGGGGCGACTCCAGAAGAACTCGACTTCATTTAAAAGAAAATACATCATACTGGTTCTTGCTCCCTTCATTCCCAGGTTCCTCTCATTTCCCAGCCTGCTTGGACATTTCCTCCCCTCCTAACTTAGAATGCTGCAGGAGAGGAGACTCCGGCAGCCACCCCCTCTGACTGCTAATCCTCCTTTATTTGACACACCCAGGGAGGTTAGGTCCAGTTTTTGAGGCACCTCCAAGAAACAGAGTTCTGGGGACCCTGATTGGGTGTCCCTGGGCTGATGGCTTATGCTCTGGACTCAGGATGTGGCACATGTCCTACTGTGTTGGACTGATTTTCACGAATCTATTAAGATCTCAGACATGCAGCCCTGGCCGGTTTGGCTCAGCGGTTAGAGCGTCCGCCTGCGGTCCGGAGAGACCCGGGTTCGGTTCCCGCTAAGGGCACGTACCTCGGTTGCAGTTTGTCCCCGGCCCTGGTTGGTCGTGCGGGTGGCAGCCACTCGATGTGTCCCTTCACGTCGATGTTTCTCTCTCTCTCTCTCTTCCTCTCTCTCCCTCCCACTCTATCTGTACAAAAAATGGAAAAATGTCCTCGGGTGAGGATAAAAAAAAAAAAAAAAAAAAAAAAAAAAAAAAAAGATCTCAGACATGCAAATAAGTGGTGTTTTCAGAGCAAATCATTTGTGAATGTGATATTTCTCACTTTAAAAAAGCCAAACATAACTGCTGTTTTTTCTTTTATTATTTTTTAAATTTAATTTATTTATTTTTGTTACAGATGTTTCTCTTTTCCCCCCCACCGATCCCCCCTCCCCCTCCCTCCCCACCCTGTCCCCAGCTTTGTTGTCCATGTCCATTGTTCATGCATATAATTTCTGTGGTTTATCTCTCCCACCACCCCCTCTTCTGGGGATTGTCAGTCTGTACCCCACTTCCACGTCTCTGGGACTACCCCATTCTTCAGACTGTTATGTTCATCATATTCCACAAATAAGTGAGATGCTGTTTTTTCTTGTTAAATAACCAACTTCTCTATTTCTTAAAAGCAAGATGGATCATTATAGATATAATAGAACACATAAATAAGAAAAATACCCATGCACAACTATACTAGATATTTTTCTATGCATATTTATTTTTAAATTATGAAATATTTCAGACATACAGAAGGCATAGCTAATACAATGGGTGCCTGTGTGCTTGCCACCCAGTTTAAAAAATAGCATATCAAATTACCAATGCACCGAAGCTCAAGGGCGCCCCTCCCCTATTACATTCCCTTCTCTCCCTCCCAGAGGTAACCACCACTTTGAATGTGATGCTTATTATATCTATACATGGCTTCCTGCTTTTATCCATATGTACATATTTCTAAATAATATATAGCAATGTTCTGCATATTATACATATATATTCTATGTATCCTTCTGCATTTGGGGGGGTTTCAGCATTATATTTTAGAGATTTATATTCATATTCATATACTTAGTTCTGTGTAGTATTCCATTTAGAATGTATTTCTCATTTACCTACTGAAGGGCATTTGGATTGTTTCCAGTCCTTCCCTATTACTAACAGCACTGCTGTGAAATTCTTGTCTGATTCTTTGGCGCATGTGTGAAAGTTTCTCTAGGGCAGAGTTTCTCAAAGTCTCACCTGGGGAGTTTTTCAGAAAACACCCATACCTGGACTCATTCCAGACCAATAAAGTCCTCCAACTTTTTTGATTTTCCTGTGTCTTGACAAT